CGTTGGCAATTAACATGAGCAATTTGCTGATTGGCGTATAGGTTCGCGAGAAAAATCGCAAAAGGGGAATCGCGAGAACGCGCGCGCGCGCGTGAATTACGCGGAGGATTACGCGGAGGAAAATTGACAGAGGAAAATGGAACGCGGCACGGCAAATGCGAACGGCGCAACAATGGACACGAAGAAAGAGAGCAGAGAGCAGAGAGAGCTCGCCTCGTTTCCCTTCTTTTCGCTCGAAGCGCAAAGCTATTTCAGTTAACGCGGACGAAGGAGTCGCGGCGCATCACGAAACGCCGCCAGGCACGCTCGCTCACTCTCTCCGTGTTCTATATATATATATATACACGTGGTAGAATTTTTCTATTTTATCGTAATACTCCCTCGCATACTCCCTCCGCCGGGTGTCCCGAAACTCGCCACTGTAATCTTAATAACGAATCCCGCCGACGGTTCGATTCTACCTCGGCGAGAACGTCACGCATTTATTGCGTGGTTCTCCGTAGATCTCCACGTTAGACATCCCCATAAAAAGCCACAAATCTTGAGTAACCTGAACTTTGAAACAAGCGGGAATTCGTTTTGAAGCGGAGTCCGCTCTTGGAAATTAACCAAAGGATAGATTAAATTCCGCTTCGGAAAGGATTTTTACTTGTCACAAGAGGTTTGGGTGAGAATTTCAGAGTAAGGTGAGAACGGAGTTCACTCTTGAAATTAATTAAAGAACGTAACTTGGTTATCTGCTTGCGACTGTCTCGCAAGTTCACGAGAGAAACCCATCATCTTTCTTAATCCTTCGTACACTTGAACACACTGCTCGAACGCCCAGATATTTCCATCCCGAAAACGCCGATTCTCGTAACTGATCGGGGGGATCGCGCGTAACTTTAACTTTGTCCGTAATTATCGCAAATTAATATTAACGTCGCGATTTGCGGGACACTCGGTATGAGCGAGCGCGTGAGATATCGCACGTACGTGCTTATTCTTGGGCAGCTCGTATAATTTCCCGTCGCGGTCCACTCTTCCCGTTACACGTTTTTACATCGCTATACATATATGCATACTTTAAGCGGAACCGGAATTAGATCGCGGTGGGAATATCGACGGCGCGCCATAATTAGAATAAAAATGTTGCAGCGGAAAATATGAAAAGCAGCACGAAGGAACTGACGTTTTTTCGTGACGCCCGCGAATTATTTTCAGTCGGCCAGCCATGTTTCCTTCTGTCTCGAAAAAGGGTCTTTCGAAATTTTTGAATCGGACCAGATTTGCAATGTCGAAACCGCGTGCACGTACACTCTTGAAATCTATCAGAGCGAAATCTTCGCTCGAAAAATGGAGCGACAGCTAAGTAACTCGGATTGATTTCTCACTCTTACGGAGTGAATTCTTCCATCCTGTGACGTGGAGTGAATATTTTTACTTTGCGTCGTGAAGTTCCCTCGGAAAATGGACTGACTATCAGATCATTCGAGTTGGAGTGACTTTTCACTTTTATAGAGTGAATTCCTTCACTCTTTGAAAGTGAAAAGTCACTTCAATCTTATCACTCTGTATTGTTGAGTGAATATTTTCATTTCACCGAATCTAATAGCGTATGTTATAAACAATAAGATGATCAAACCGTCCTGTGGTCGTTGTCTTTTTTCTCGGTTCACAATTTATTATACTTTATACGGGAAATGTATATTTGAATTGAAATACTTGAAACATTACTCCATCTCTCTTTTAAATATTATTAATAATATTGAAAAAATTCAATTTATGTAATAGTATTATATTTCTATTATAAAATAAATAGAGGAGGGGGGAAGGATCCTATAAGTTTCGGAAACATAGATAACATCAAATTTATTTGTCAATCATAGCGAGATATAGTAGATTCAAGATCCCGAAGTTCTAAGTTTAAACCCAGCTAGTAATAAGCAAATTTTTCAAATACAATAGAAATGAAATCGACTAAATGGCATATATAATCGAGAAGATTTTGAGATAAAATCATTAATGACACCTTAAGAACAACGCAATAAAAAAGAATACATATTAAAGAATGTAAATTAGAAGAATTCACTTTTTTTTGGAATAAAACATTCACTCCAATCGAGTTCTGAAAATTGAAATATCACTCCATTCCTAGTGGCAATATTTTTATTATGGGTTGGAGAGAATTCTCACTCATTTGAAGTGAGGTTTTATTCCGCGAAATTTAGAGAGCATACACAGAGAAAAATATTATTATATTGCGAAGGAAGACGAGTACTTAATTTATTTTTCTTCTTTTAAGGAATGGTTATTCCGAACAAAGATTTTCTTGGTAATAATATTAAACATCGTTACAGATATTAGAAAAGCTCATTATCATTTTTTCTCAAAAGAAGAATTTATTCTTTCTTTCCAAGAATATTATAAACTTTATCGAAGAAAAGTTAAATTTTCGGTTAATTGGAAAAATAATCCGAAGTTTTAGTGTTAGTGTTTTAATTCAATATTCTTGACTAAAGTACTAAACTTACTAGGACTGAGAATTTATTTTGAATAAATTTGACTGAGGATTAACTGAATAAAATGGACTGAGAATTTATTTTGAATAAATTTGATGTTTATGATAAATTCTCATGAAACATTTGCTGATATATTAACTTATGAAATATTTGAAACAAGTAATATTTATTTGAATGCAGTGTATATTTTTTGTGCACACTCACACGCAGATACACACGCAGAGTTACACAAAACATTCCACTCGCGATATCGCAATTTCAGAGATTCCTCTTGCGAATTCGGGGACGGCTTTTCTGCCGACGGCGATAATTTCGAAATTATAGAAGTCAGTTTGCCGAAAAAGCAAAGCTCCGCGCGCTGCAACATCGCGAAACCGCATTTTCCGGCGGACTTTCAGCTGGATCCAGCGTGTAAGGGCGGGATTTCATTTCGCAGTTTAATTGCAGAGCCGCGCGATGTTGGGAACGGAAAGTTGGTGAGAAACGAGCGACGGACTACCTCGAAATTTTCTCAGGCCCGGGGGAGGCAGGACGAGTAAGGAAGGAGGGAGGCCGACCGCAAATCCAGGCGGATAATGTCCGGCGGTAATGCTAAGGTCGCGTGTTTTGACGTTGATGTTGTTAGCTGTCTTGGATCCACCCGTGATTCTTTCCGTTTAGCATTATCACAATACGTCCACTTTTCATCGCCAGTTACAACTTGATACAAAAGCCACTTTTTTGTGCTTCGAAAGCAGTGAAACGTAAGTGTTGTAACGATTTCGGATAGCCAACTCGGACAATTCATGTGGCATGTCCATTCACTCTCCTTCCGGATCTTTCCCATGGCTTTCAAACGATTGTACACAGCGGTTCGATCAATATCCAATTGTTCTGCGAGTTCTTTGAGCGTTTGAGCTGAATCTTCATCCGATAACGCATTCAATGTGAACCCTCGAAACTAACTGAAACACTTGATAATCCAAGTTTTCCGCTCGATAACCGCGAAACGAAAGGAACGAATGGAAGGAGCCGGCGTCGGCGGGCGGCGTATCCAAATATTTAACCAGGAATATTCTAGTCGTGCCCGTCGCGTGTGCGACGAGCGAAGGCGCGTTATCGCGCTGCGGATCGTCCCGCTGCTATTGACATTTTCATTATCCGCGTTACGTCGTCGTGTGTTCGCGCCTTGTTGTGCGATATCGCGCGAGAAAGCGGAATGCGCATATATTTTGCTGGCGCGCGGCGGGCGGAAAACTCGGAGACAGGTAGCCGTGATGTTAAGTCGGATCAATAAAATGACTTATCCATATTGCCTTCGCGGAGCATGACGTCTCCATCTGGAGCACAATGACGTGCGAGCGATGCCGTGAAATCGAGCGGAAACGCGCCGGCTGCGACAGACTCGGACGTTTTTCGGCCGGAGAAAAGATTTGGCGCTTTACACGCGACGTCTGTCAGAAGCATCGGATGTCCCTCCCTCCTCTCTCTCTCTCTCTCTCTCTCTCTCTCTCAGTCGATCTCGCCGCTTTATTATTAAAGCTCGCTCGCCCGCCGAAAGATCAGATCGAACAGCGTGATTTCGCTAATCGAGGACTTCCCGAAAGAGACATTCAGCGATCGCGTTTCACCTGCTTCATAATTCACATATCTGCCTCGCATCCGGAAAGGAGGAAGACGGATAAGTAACGTGGACTTAAAATAAACGCAACCGCGCGCGTCCGGTAACAATTAAAGCTCTAATTTTGCCGCGGGAAACCTTGTGGACAGTTTTCTCGTCCCCGACGGTCGCTTCCGCGACGGAGCGACGGCGGCGGTATAATTGATTCGACTTGCACCGCAACTTCGTCGCGAGGGACGCGACGGATCAGCGAGGAATCCTCGCGCTTCCAGCTCGCTCGGCCTAGCCGAGGCTCGCACGGAGGAAGGTTATACCCTCGGCTCGAGAGATCCCGCGCGAGAGGTGGAAGGAAAATCTTAACGACGTCGTCCACCGGCATTACGCAGGGCACACTCGAGTCTCGCTCGGCGGCACTCTTGTGCTACCGGATGACGACTCGGAGCGAGACAAGTGGAAAGGAAGCACCGGCTTGTGAAAGAGGGACAAATCGAGCCAACGAGAAAGAAAGAGAGAGAGAGAGAGAGAGAGGGTGCCTTTTAGCCCAGAAATTTCACGCAAAAATCTGCCGCGACCCTTTTCCTCTGTTCTATTTAAGAGCCGGGAAATTGCTGAAAAATTCGCGCCGTGCGGAAAATTGTACAACGATACGGCACTGTCGGCAACGCCACAGAACAAGAGAAAGAAAGAGAGAGAGAGAGAGAGAGAGAGGAGCGACCAAGTGGAGGATGCGGGTGGAACCGAGCGGAACGGAGCGGAGCGGGGTTGGGAGAGAGAGAGAGAGAGGGAGAGGAAGAGAGATAGAGTGAGGGTGGCTCAGGAAACGGGGTGGAGAGCGCGAGAAGGGGTGGTTTGGTGGTCCGCTCGTTCGGGCCGTTCGGCCAGTCGTGCTGTGGCGGCAACCGCGACATCGTTGTCGTGCACCACTCTCGGCTGTCGCTGCGAGTCCCTCGCGCGCGCCCGGACATACAGGAGAAGACGATCACAACGCGACGGACAAGCTCGTCCTGGAAGCTCGCCCCTGGAGCTCGTCGCGAGACTCCCCGTCGATCCCTAATCCAGCGGACTCGCCGATCGCCGTCGCGAAGGGCGCGGGGTAAAGCGCGACGTAGGGGTGTCTCCGAGTTACATCGAGCCGTTTAAAACGATCTTCTCCCTCTTCTCTCCCTCTCTCTCTCCTCCTCTTCCTCCCTTTCTCTCATTCTCTCTCTCTCTCTCTCCCTTTCTCTTGTGAATTCGCGTACCGTGATGAGAACGTAGCTTAGATGTGCGTAGCTTAGGAATAATTCCCTAACAGACCGACGAGATCGAGTGTCGAGGGCGGGAAAAGCGAAACGCGTTAAACGAAATCAGGTTTGCCTGTCACCGTGCGAACGGTACCCGTCGTCGTCGTCAGGGACGACACACAATGACAAGGGAAGTGTGTCTCGGCGCTGATCCGGCTTCGGGGAATCGGCGGGCGTGAAACGCGCGCGAGCGAGAAACCGCGGTGAGAGAACTAGTGGCCGAGGGAAAACGCGGCGAAAGTGGAGGAGGAACGAGACGCGAAACGAGAGGGAAAGTCGGAGATCGGTCGGCGACAGGTTGTGTCGTTGTTCTTCCTTACGCCGCGTGCGAAGGTCGATCGCGCGTAATTAGCGCGTGCCGCGAGTCTTCCGGCCTTCCCCTTCGATCCGTGATTTCGCGAGGAACATCGCGAATGACCGTCGCCCGCTCGTCGCCGCGTTCTACTCGTGAGCGGATTCAGCACCTCGGCTCAACGAGCGGGGACCGGTCATTGCGGCCGATCCGTCGCGGAAATCAGCCGCCGACTGTACGCGGCAAGCAGTCCAAGATCTATCGCCGAGGCTCCCTCTGGATCGCCGGATTCCGGATGGATCGATGTCCCCGCCAGGATGAAGAATTTCACCGGGACGTGGCAGTTATCGGTATGAACAGCAGTCCTTGACTTCATTAACTTACGGGAAATTAATCGAGTTCTGCCGGAAAGTCTGTCTCCTCAACGGCCTTCCCTCTGGCCGAGCTTACACGCTTGAATCTGTTATTTTTCCACTGAAATAGTGTTCTCTCTCTTCGTCGCTCTCACGCATCTCTCTCTCTCTCTCTCTCTCTCTCTCTTTCTCTTTCTCTTTTTCTCATCGTTTAGTCGGTAAATACAAAAGTTTCGAGTTATGAGAGAAAACGATTAGAGTGCGAAGAGACAGACTTCGTATTTGCGGAACGTTCCGGCGGGTGGAACAATGTTTCTAAGCGATTTCTAATAGCCACCCTCGCGGTCGCCCTCGATTTTCACGTTGCGCCAATATTGACAGAGTGTTCGATTAATTTTCGATGGCTCGGTTATTATGAGAAGCTAATTATAGAGCGAGTTGACCGCCGGCTCATATAAAGGGGAGATTAAACCGTTAGATATTTATTGACGTTATTTCTTTAAAATGCGTACGGGGGGAGGAGCTTTTCCATTCGTTTAACTTTTAACTTCGTTAAAACACATGAAAGCGCTGGGCATCGGAAATCGCACGATCAAAGGGAGCTAAGTGCGTACTCACGGCTCGACGCGTATCGGAAGCCGGTCGTGTTCGCGCTTTTCGAGGCTTCAGCGAAAAATCGTGAGATTCGCTATTACTGATTTTTCCCATCACGACATCCGACGAGGAAGAGAGAGAGGGAGAGAGAGAGAGAGCCGAACAGTCTCGTCTGATGTGACACTAAGGATACTCTCTCTTCTTCGATTAACGACGACGGTGCACCGAACGAACGGCCGGAAGCAATCTCGGTGCGCGCTTTCCCTTCGCGCCGCGCTATCACCACGCTATTTCCACGCGGTTTATACCCAGTAATGGAGAAGCAGGGAGAAGCGGGGAAAGCACCTCCCTCGCGTTTACCGTCCGCGCGTTTCCAAGTCAAGTCGAGCGATTATCAGGATATCGAGGCAATCTCGATATCACGGTTCGCAATATATTATACGTATTTACGTTATATACATGTATCTGCGCCCTTGCCCTTGCGCTCACTCTTCCCCCATGCTGCCCTGTCTCACCTTCGTCTTCGATGTAATACCGTAATATTAGATGAACACCGACCTATCAATGTGTATGTGTGTGTGTATATGTAGGGCGTGCGCGTATTAGCAGCTTCCGGGGCAATCACAGACCGGAAGTTGTCCGCAAAATTATTAGTCCGAAAAGAGGATACACGGAGCCGATACACGGCACGCCTCTCTCTCTCTCTCTCTCTCTCTCTTTCTCTCTCTCCCCTTCCCTGTAGCGCTCGCGCGGAAGTTGCCTCCATCACGTCGATGAGTTTCCTTCGGGAGAGAGAGAGAGAGAGAGAGAGAGAGATCTCTCGACGAACTGTTCTTCCTCCTCCTTCTCCTTCTTCGTCGCATCCGGTATCTACGAAGCTCGCTTTACCCTAGCCTACCCTACCCTTTCCTGTGGATCACGACGATGCCCCCGATAATCCTCTGTAACCGCCGTGCACTTCGACGTGCGTGATTTATAATATGCTTGCGGAGACGGGGAGGATGTTGTTTGATCCGGGAACAGTCATCTTATTCTTTCTTTTTTACGTAAACGATCGCGAACACTTGATGTGCTTATTTCTTAAATATTTATTCTTTAGTTTTTCCTCATTCTTTTCAAAGAGTAGCGAGCAAATCTATATTTATAATGTCCCTGAATAATAATAAATCATACAAGGAGAGAATATTCTAGTAAAAATTACCACGCAAATTTTGCAACGTTGGACCGTACCAGAATTATGACTGAAATTATGATACGGTTGTAATCTTTAGTGATGTGTACAATGATGTGCGTTACTGCAGATTATAACACACATCAAAATTTCAGTTATAATTCCGGTACGATCCAACATTACAAAATTTGTGCGGCAATTTTTACCACAATATTTTCTCCTTCGCGTAGAGCAATCGATAACATGCTATATCTTATTAATAATAGCGACTTTTAATCGAGGCCTAAATGACCCCGTGTGATTACTCCCGGGTTCAAGACTCTTAGAATACAAACGTCGCGAAAACGCGATATGCATGATGCGATTTTCATACGCGCTTAAACTTGTACACCGGTGATTTAGCGCGCGGCGCGTGGAGAATACACCGTTCGCGCGAATGAATAAATAAATAAATGAATAAATAAATAAATAAGCACGACCCGAGGGGAGGCTGAGAGAGAGAGAGAGAGAGAGAGCGCGTGCACGTACGCGCGTGCGTTCGCATTCGCGCTCGTCGCTAATGGCTGACGGGGGAAGCTCAAAGTTTGCGTCGACTTGACGCGTCCTCCTCTGCCCGAGAGGATCCCTAAACATCGAAAAACAACAGATCGATGAGCGCCTCGAGAGCCGAGTGGATAGCGAATATCGAGGTCGCGCGAACAAAGTGCGTGTCGCAAAAAGGACACACGCTCTTGCCGACGCGGTATCTCGCCGTCTCGTGTCGGCGGCAGAAGAACCGGATACGAGAACGAATTCCCCTTCTAACCAATCCACCAATCGCCCGCCCACCCACTCACTCGCCCATCATCCACTCCCTCCTTGCCATTCACGCGCCCGGAGAGCGGCGGAATTAATTTCTTCCCGATATTTCGCGCGCCCGGTGCGCTCAACGTCTAACATTAGTCGAAACGATGAGTTTAAAAGGTCGCCCGGGAGTCGCGGGAGAGCGTCTCATACGCACGCTTTCATCAGGATTTCCCGGGGAAATATACACACAGACTGTCTGTCTGTCAAATAGCCGAACTCCGAGATTAACGAGTTAATTTTGACGGTGTTTATTTCGCGAGAGCGAGCGAGCGAGAAAGAGAGAGAAAGAGAGAGAGAGAGAGGAAAGAGAGATGTCAGACGCGATGAGGCGGGGGCGACTTGGATCTCGAATCTCCGGCTTCTCTCGCACCGGGGTGAACTCGGCTGCCAACTTCAATCGGGGAATCCGCGCGTGACGAACGGCCCCGTTAGATCCGCGTATACACAACGGCACGCGGCACAGATCGCGCGGCGAAACCTCAGGCGTTCCGTGCTGTGAGCGTTTTCGTGAACGAGCGGAATTTTGCAGGATTCCCGCGGAACGTCGATCGTGCCGCGCGACTGCCGCAATCACGGGCCCAAGAGCGCGGCAAATGAAGACGATCGGCAGCGAAGTCGCGCGCCGTCCAACCGGGTCGTCCCATTGAAATTCAAAACGGGACTCTGCCATGCCGGCCCGTCCGTTTTAAAGGCGGAGCACCACCGCAATCACCACCACCGTCACCAGCACGATCGTTATCACCACCGCCATCACCACCACCGTCACGGCTGCCGTTATTGCCGCCGACGCCGCTATCAACGTCGCCGCCGTTATCAACGGTGCCGCCGCCACGTAGCGCTCGTTAGACTCGCTCGTGAAGGGATCAAGTCGGTTTAACCAGTCGGAAATCCGACGGAGGAAGCGACGCCGCTCTCTTTCGGATGGCCACGACGACGTCGAGGCCGACGCCGACGCCGAGGCCGACGACGACGAACGACTCGACCGGAAGCTGAGCCCCGACCGGAGATAGCCGGCAGTCTCGATCTCGGCACGTTTATTGAAGCAACAACGGCGCGAAGAAATCGCGTCCGGTAATTGCACCGGCCGCTTTGAAGGTTCCCTCGGGAGTTCCCTATCTTCTTCCGACTGGCGTTCCCTCGTCCGATAAATAAGAAAGAGGGAAAATAAATCGAAACGAGAACTCGAGGAAGCGACGAGAAACAGAGAGAGAGGGAGAGAGAGAGAAGAGAGAGGGTAGTACGAAAACGATCGGGAGATCAACGCCGACTCCCCCGAGAGTTCCTCGCCCTCTTCGTTTCACTTCGAAGGGATGCTTGCCGCGTCGCGCTTCGGACAAGATCGTCCAAAGGACGGACAATCCCGTTTAACACTGTCTAGTTCACGAGCCCATGTTGTCGAAAGACACTCCGGATCACCCTCGAGAATCTCGCTACGAGCGACTCCGTCGACGAGCGCGTGCTTGAGGAGACGATATGTCGGACGTACGGCGAGGTCGTAGACCGGGTCTACGAACGATTTGCTGAAGAACCGGCGAATTGGCACACCGAAGAAGAAGAAGAGGGCGAAAAGACGCGGCGTGTGTCGAAAAACAGTCGCGAGGAGGATGATTATCGTGTCGAGAGGACGAGAACGCGCGCGTTCTCAGCAGGCACTTAAGATGCAGCGTGCGCCTTGGCCGTTGCTGCTCCTGATCACGCTGCAGCGACTGCCGGTGCAGTCGAGGATGCACACCGAGAGGGAGGCGGTGCTGATACCCGGTGACATCGTGCTGGGTGGCCTGTTCCCGGTGCACGAGAAGGGCGGCAGCAGCGCCTGCGGGCCCAGCATCTACCACCGCGGTATGCAGCGTCTGGAGGCGATGCTGTTCGCCGTCGATCAGATCAATAGCGAGAACGACATATTGCCGGGAGTCATGCTGGGCGTGCACATCCTCGACACCTGCGGCCGTGAGACTTACGCGCTCAACCAGAGCCTGCACTTCGTGCGCGCCTCGCTCTCCAACATAGACATCAGCGTGCTCGAGTGCGCGGACAAGTCGACGCCCAGGGTGAAGCGCACCGCCAACGCCGGGCCCATCTTCGGTGTGATCGGCGGCTCCTACAGCTCGGTGTCGTTGCAGGTAGCCAACCTGCTCAGGCTCTTCCACATACCGCAGATCTCGCCGGCCTCCACGGCGAAGGCGCTCAGCGACAAAACCAGGTAGGCCCTCATGCGCGATCGATCTGTCAGGTGGAAGTAACGGCAAGTTCGTGCGTCGGGGATTTCCTCGCGTTCGCTCAACGAGACTTACGAAGGGGACTTACGTCGGGACTATCCCTCGGCCCACTTCGACGGGCTTTGCATACGTCGTCGAGCACCGAGAAATATCGGATATTTCTTCTTATCTCAAATCAAATACGTATGAAATCGATTTTCGGTACGGTATTAAAAATTAACGTTTTGCAAAACTCTCAAAAGTGACATTTTGTCGAATTTTTTTAAATGAATGAAAGTTACTCTGACCGTAAGAGATCCATAATTGGGATAATCACTTTATATTTCTTTGCGCGTATATTGAATTGATGTTATTTAAACGCCACAATTTCTCATGCGGTTTAAGCGCAGCTCGACGAATAGTCACGACGGTTCATTTAACGACACGTAATGGTAACCTCATCCGTTATCGTTTGAGCGGAGCCTAACTTGGCCCGAGCCTCGAAGAGGACGACCACGCGGTGCGGAACGGCCCGCGGCATTTTTCCGTGCAATTTGACCGAAACGAACGACTCGTCAATCATTTTTTCCTCTCTACAATAATCACAGTTCCTCGAAACTATTCGCCCAATTCGAATAACGATCAACCGTGAGCGTCCCTTTTCCACCACGAACAGACGAGCGATCGTAGATTCATGAACCACCCGCGCGCAGATCGATCGCTCTGTGAATCGATGTTAAATCATTTTCATTATCAGACGAAATTGCCCCGTGTTTCTGAGCTAGCTATCTCGGTCCGGCATAAGCGCACAAATAAATAATCGTTTACGTACTTGACGGGTAATCCCTGCAACCATAAAACATGGCTAGTCGCAGCGGCGACTTAGAAAGCGTGAAATACGCGATACGAAAACGTGACGTTGGAGTTGATAAGAGTAACTACACGTTTAATAACATCGTAGAGGCAACAACGGTAATGGGAAGTTAACCTTCTCGCATGGTAGACCTTGAAGTAGTCTTTGCAACCTAACCTGACCCAGCCGAACCTTCAGAAAAATCCAGTTGGCCCTGAAAGAACAACGATCGACCACAAACACTGTTATGAAAATCGACACCGATCGTTGATTGATTAGTTTTAATTGTATTCCCGAGGCGAAATTTGGAACTATTTTAACACTTTTAAGGATAATTCGCGCATACTTGGGTGATCTATAAATTAATAAAAACTTTGACAATATACTTCTCACTTCTCTTTTAATTCTAAATGAAAAAGAAAATTGGTATCAATTCAAAATTCATATTCTCATATATAATCAAGAATATTTAATCTTGTATGAAAATAAAGCGCTTACACATGAAGAAATTCTATATAGTTTCATTAAAGATATCATATTCTTATTATTCAAGAATAATTTTTATGAATTGAGAGGAAAAAATTTTTAGTACAGAAAGAACGATATTTTTAAACTAAGAATTGTATTAGTTTAAATTCATGAAAATTACTTTTGAGTAACAAGAATATGATATTTTTAGTGGAATTGTATAGAATTTCTCTGTGTCAGCAAGTTTTATTTTCATGCAGGATTATATATTCTTTTATATATATATATATATATATATANATATATATATATATATATATATATATATATATATATATATATGAAAATATAAAGTCTTAAATTGATATTCGTTTTCATTCTATATACAAATTTTATTATTTGAGTATTTATTTACTAACTTAATATCTCGAATAACCTATTTTATAAAGGTATGCGAATCAAGCATCTGTATAGTCGAATCGAATCTCTTAAATTTGAATACGAATCGAATCATATTTTCCAGGACTTACATGCGTATCTGAATATTATAAAGTACCTCCAATGATATAAAAAAGCTTCCTTTGAGTGGGCAAAAATATTAATAACCGAATTTTGCGAAAATCTCTCAGTGACTTCTGTTCCTTCACTGTTCTCGTCACCGGCTCCTTGCAGATTCGACTACTTCGCGCGGACGGTACCGCCGGACACGTTCCAGTCGATCGCGCTGGTGGACGTGGTGAAGAGCGCCAACTGGTCGTACGTCTCCACGGTGTACTCCGAGGGCAGCTACGGCGAGTACGGCATCGAGGTGTTCACGCGCGAGGCCACCGAGCGGAACGTGTGCATCGCAGCGGCGCTGAAGGTGCCGAGCGCCGCGGACGATAAGGTGTTCGACGACATAATCCAACGGTTGAACAAGAAACCGAACGCTCGGGCGATCGTCTTGTTCACCCGGGCGGAGGACGCCCGCGGCATCCTCGAGGCGGCCAGACGGTCGAACCTCAGTCAATCCTTTCAATGGCTCGCCAGCGACGGCTGGGGCCGACAGAGCAAGCTCGTGGAGGGCTTGGAGGAGGAGGCCGAAGGCGCCATCACCGTGGAGCTGCAATCGAAGAACATCCCCGACTTCGACGAGTACATGGAGTCGCTCACTCCCGAGAACAACCGGCGGAATCCTTGGTTCGGCGAATACTGGGAGGAGGTGTTCGGCTGCACCTTGAAGAAGAACCTCTTCGCCATAGAGCGCGGCAGCCATCAGCAGAGTATCACTGGACGGGGTAACTCGGCGAACCAGAGCCACGGTTGCTCGTCCGCGCTCAGGCTGACCGCCGCCAACGGTTACGAGCAGGAGTCGAAAGTGCAGTTCGTCGTCGACGCGGTGTACGCGTTTGCATTGGCGCTCAACAAGCTGCGTCTCGACCTCTGCGGCCACATCGAGGGCCTGTGCACGCCGGTGGCCAACTACGATCGCGGCGCGTTCTATAGGAATTATCTGCTGAACGTGTCCTTTGTGGGTGAGTGAATCTCATTCGAGTGTGAATGCGAACGGGGGCCATAATAAAACCTCCGCGAATAATCGAACGGAGGGAGCGAGCGTGCCGCCGATTGTTCGCGCTTTTGTGCCGCGCCGTTTTTCTGCCGGCCGTTTCTCTCTCTCTCTCTCTCTTTCTCTCTCTCTCTCTCTCTCTTTCTCTCTCTATCTATCCCACTTCTTTGTTCCGCGTATTATTAGAGGAATAATGTCCCGGAACACCGGCGGGTTGTCTTCAACGCGTTCAGGTAGCCCTGCGAGCGCGCGATAAGCGCGCGCCTTCGTTTGTGATGTTCATTTGTTCCGTTCTCTTCACATCGTGAAACAAATGTACGATGCTGTTAACTATCCCCTCTCCCGGGAGAGAGAATAATTATCTCCGCCGGTGAGTCAATTCGATTCTTCAATTCGGCGACAGTCGATCTCTCGTCTCCTCCGCGACGGAGTATCAATAGTCGCTTGAGAGTTGTCTCGTGTGAGAAATTCGAATTCAGAAGTCGGACGAGAGTTTTTAGACAAGTTTTACTTGATGAGGTAAGTTTCAGTTTTGCAGCTGAATTATACGTTAGGCGTGAAGCGTTATACTCGCAGCGGCGATCCCATCGAGAAACTCACACGAAGTAACCAAACTACGAAGTGCGAAAGCCGGATATTTCACGTGAGACGCGATTCCGGTCTCTAATGACTGTTGAGGTAGTTGGTCCGTAAATTTACTTTCTTAGAAATCTTTTCAGGTTTTAACGGTATATTTTAATCGAGACACGCGATTTACATTTTACACGTGTAAAATTAGAAAGAAGACTGACCATATCGAGGCTGAGATAATTGGAGTCAAAGTTAGCACTATTTACATATATCACAGGTACGAAAACTGCTTCCGATATCACGTTTTTATTTCATGCTATATACTCTTCCGGTTTTAATGAAAAACAAGGAGACAATAAAAAGGATTTGTAGAAATTTTATAAAAAAATTACAAAATCGTTGATCATCTACTTTTCCAGAAAGTAACATGTAAAATACACAATTTCTGATAATAATTGGAATATATGACAGCTAATCTGTAAATATTGGCAATATTGTATGTGCTATATTTCCCTTTATGCCTCTTATAGCTCTTATAGCCTTTAAGAGCCTTTATGGCTCTTAGGCATCCTTTTAAAAATAGAACGGTTAATTAATCTTAAAGATCTATAATTAATACGTAAAAATACGAAAAATGCAGGAAAATATAGAAAAATCCGACGTCACGATCGTTTCTCAAGTAGCGTGTATTCGTGTACATTTATCGGTATGAGTGATAGAGGAGGAGGTGACATTATGGCTTTCGTAGGTGTCATGATTCTCCTTAATATCGCCGCTGTTAGATGACGAATTTCAGCGATTATTTATGGAATCACTCGTTTAATAGCCGCTGTTACGCGGTGGCGCTAATATGCCAACACAATAGCCAGCATTTGTTATAACGCATTTTTACTTTTGAGCATTTCGAAACGTTTTCCAAATACTTTTAGCATTTAAATACATACACTTTCTCATTCTTCTTAAACTTGGGCGTATTATCACACGAATATACGTACATTTGAGTGTTTCGTTCTTGTGAATGAGCAGTTATTTAACATTTTATTTTATTTCGCTATAAGCAGTGGTTCGATAATTAGTTATTAGATAAATTAATAATTCAAGTTGAGTTTAAAAGTCTATTCGTTTTGCAGAAATTGTCCTTTTGACAGTTTGTATCTACCTTTTGAGAAGTACATAGCATCTACACATTAAAAATTAAAAATTAAAAACGGTTATATTCATTGTTGTTCCTCGTAAGAGAGTTGATTTTGAATAAATATATAAATCTCTCTGCGATAAAACACTATTTTGTTCAGACAAATCTAATTTTTTCTGTTCCTCTTCGATCCATTGCGCAATGTCGCAACATTTTTATAAATAACGTCCCAAGTAACAAATATTTCACAAGTTTGAGTCTAAAATCGATTGAACGACACTTGGATGAATATAAACGTTAAGTTTACAATTTAAAGTATTGATTATTAACAAAGTTACAGTACAAAATGTGAATCGGGAGCCATAACACCACCTTCTCCTCTACATTCACAACCATACGTCTGACACGGGCAGTTCTAGTCTGAAAGTATTACACGTCAGAGCGCGCAAGACTTTTTACGAGTTTCTGAACATTACGTAAGTTTGATCGATATATTCCCGTGCTATAATATCAAAGCTGTGCACCATAAATCATGTTTATAAATAGATCTGATGAGCTTCTTCGTGTTGTATCCACCATTACCTTTCTGACGGTATTATCACGGGCCACCTGCCTTAATTGCAGAGCAGAGACAAGAAGACGGGGCGCGTTATCGTTCGACTTTCCGATTTCCACACGACCCCGCGCGCTCCGAGCGGGACTTCGTCGTCGCTCTCGTTATCCGTTTCGTCCGCTTAAACTCAGCTCGTCCTTTACTTTCGATCGTCAATTATTTAAAGATCGCGTCGACGACGGTGCCTCGTCGTCGGGGACAGCTTCGCCGCGACCGGAGGTCCTGACATTCCCGGTAGCGGTCGTACGACATCCTGCGACATCCTCGGTCGGTCGGCCGATCGTTTTTAATATCGAATCCCCCGGCATACATAGAATTCCGCGGATTCGTGTAATTCGGCCAATTACCGCGTCGCCTGGAAACGCTCGCCGTGTCCTCGCTCGATACGGAAACACGAGCTCTTTCCTCTTCCTTTTTCTCCCCTCTCTCTCCTCCTCCTTTTCTCCTCTCTGTCGTTTTTTCACGTGTGCGAGGTCGCGGCGGTGGTATGCGTCGTAACACACCGCGCGTTCGCGTATGATATCTCGAATCGGATCGGACGGACACGCGTTTCCAGTTTCTCTCTTTTTCCCTCTTGCCCCTCCCTGTCCCTTCTCACTCCCTCTCCTATCGATTTATTTCCTGCATGCATACGCGTGTGCATACGCGTCCACCGATGACACCGTGTCCGCAAACAGGGGGGGAAGCTCTCGGAAAACGCGCGGAAAACTCTCTCTCGGCCCTTACACCGGGCGTTTTTTTAAGTGGCCGGTGGGTCACAGGAAGGGGGCGAGCCGACGCTTTATTTGTGCTTCGAATTTGACGGGGACTCGCGTGCGGGAACGCGCGTGTGTGTCGCTAAATGTGTTAAGTTCCTTGGCTTGTCGATCGCTCGTCGAGTGGAAGTCGGACGGAGTGCAGTCGACAGAGAGATATTCGAAATAGATAGATATCCGATAAACCTCTCTTCCCTCCCTCTGCCTCCCCCTTTCGCTTCTTCCCTCACTCTTTCTCTCTCTCTCTTTTTCACTGTGAAAATATACGGAGAAAATTCCACGTCGTGCGAAGCACGTCTTTATTCTCTCCTTTATTCCGCGGGCGCCCGCGAGCGGCTTTTTGCACATCGCGCGACAGCTATTATCTCGCTTCTAACGTCGTATCGTTCATTCGAATTCCAAGAGGAGAAGCTCCAACGGCGATAACGGCAGCGGGAATCGCGTCGGAGCTCGCCGATGAAATTCACAATTCGCAGGCGTTTTGTTAAACGACCGGGACCATAGCACGGTGGTTCATTCGTTCGTTCGTTCGCTCGTTCGAATGGAACGTGTGTAATCGACGGAGATACTCGAAAAAATGGGGGGATATGAATCCGATATGAATCCCTCTGAAAATACCACGTGAAAAAATCCATCGACGCGATCGCGATGGATAGTCCTTGATTCGTCGAGATTCCGCGCGATTTCCGCGCATCCCCGGAGCTCGAGCTCTGTGTCCGCGCCGTCGTCGTTATCGTCGTCTCGAACCCGAGTCGATCACTCACTCTCGGAGGAACTCGAAGACGGGGACAGCGGGCACGAAGCCGCGAGAACCTCGTCGGCGGAGGAACCTCCGCCGACGGAAATCCACAGTTTACAGGCTCGTTTTGCAGACCCCGCCGGCAGCGAGGTGAAGTTCGACGAGCACGGCGACGGCCTGGCGAGATACGAGATTCTCAATTTCCGAAAGAGCACGAGTCACAATGGGGCGAACGGCTATCACTATCGGGTAAGGCTCATTCAGCGGACGCCGCGATCACGCCGGCTGCATTATCGCCGATGTGCATAATTGAACGATTGTCTCCTGGCGCGACGATAAATTCAATTGGACAGCGTGAGAGAGAGAGAGAGAGAGAGGGAAAGATGAGAGATAACTCCCGCTGATATAGACTCCACTCTCGCCCTTCAGGGGAAGTGTCGCTTTTCGTCAAGTCCGATTTTCTCTTCGTCATCTCTCTCTCTCTCTCTCTCTCTCTCTCTCTCTCTCTCTCTCTCTCTTAGGGTCCAGAGAAAGCGCGATGGAAAATATGGACACGGAAAAAAAATTAGTCTTAAATCAAGAATAGACATTCTCATGTATAAGAACATTCTCATATATAAGAATATTGTAAGCTTCTCAGAGAATTTTTAGTCTTGTGTTAAGTTCAAGTAATACCTGCATCAATATAAATTCAATCAAACCAAGACTAAAAGTTTTCTAAGAAGATTATGGTATTGTTGCTTATAAGTGAGAATATTCTTGATTTAAGACTAATTTTTTCTCTAGGGGGAGTGAGACCAATCACGGGACGATTGCTAGTAATTCGCATATATTCGGTAAAGTAAAAGTACCCGGACATGCACCTAAACGTGGACGTTCTCATTATTTTGGTCTTTCAATACGAATATTTGAACTTTCAACATGGAATATATGTACATATTTAAATGTATGTATGTATATATATTCATGGTCGAAATTTTATTGGTGCTTTCATATTAAATAAACTAGTAAATAATCCAATAAACGAAAAGCGGTATACCGGCAGATTCGATCAAAATACCGTGGCAGGTCCATAGTCATCTGTGTCAGCATTAAGCTCGTGTTCAGCTGACAAAGCCCGCTGACGTAACTTGACAGCAGATTGGCGGCAGAAACTGAGCGGGATCTACACTATAAATTCAAGTGTGATATTTTTACATATATAAACGTCTAAAAATAACGCATTTGACTGAAATTCTTTTTACATGTTTTCTGCCTCATTTCAGGTTACGTCATGTTGAAACGTTTAATCGTGTTAAATTATAAGTTAACACTATTCCACTAATGGTAATTGTTTTACTTAATTTTCATCAAAACGGAACGAATACTTCCAGTATATAAGTCTTCGTAATCGTTTTAAACATATGTACATGCGAACTTCTGACAAGCGTTCTGCTCGGTCACCCTCCACCACATCTTTTCCGTTCCGCTTTTACATTGTACGACAGACGTTAAAGCGGTCTTAAAACACCCGTATCGCTTAATACACGTGTAAAGTCTCGGAGCCGCCGTGCCTCGCGATCGATGGCGCGAATGCAGAATATTCTGGCCCATATTCTCAATTCACTTTTACCGATAAAAAGTGTCTTAAATGCGGTTTCCCAGTCAAGGAAAGATGGTTTCTAAGCCACTTTTAGCGGCACTTTTATCAATAAAAATGAGAATATGGACCTCTGTCTTTTTTTAGCATGTAATTTAAGCCGCGCCGTAGTACTTCGGAGAGAGAGAGAGAGAGAGAGAGAGAGAGAGAGAGAGAGAGAGAGAGAGAGAGAGAGACAAATTAAACTCCGGAGTTTACCCCCGTGAGAGAGAATCACGAAGGTAAAACGAGACTCTTGAGTTGCGCCAAGACGAGATCAAACTCTCCTTCTCTCTCTCTCTCTCTCTCCGCCTCTTCCGCCGTCTTTCACCCTCCCTCTCTCTCTCTATTCCTCTTGTGCACGCGAGCGCGATTAATTGGAAACTCGTCGGGGAACTTGACCAGCTTCCAGATTGTGAATGAAATTTCGTTCGAGACGAGCGCAATGGAAGGTGGGGGGGGGGGGGATATTGGGGATCTCTGANGGGGGGGGGGGGGATATTGGGGATCTCTGACGTGTGGCGAACGCTGTCGACAGGTGGTGGGCAAGTGGTACAATTCCCTGGACATTCGCACCGAGGAGATGGTGTGGGCCCGTGGCACGAAGGACATACCGATCTCCGCGTGTTCCCTGCCCTGCGAGCCAGGTATGATAAAGAAGCAACAGGGTGACACTTGTTGCTGGGTATGCGACCAATGCGAGGCGTACGAGTTCGTCTACGACGAATACACCTGCATGGACTGCGGCGCGGGCTACTGGCCGCACCCCGACAAGAGGGGCTGCTACAAGCTGCCGATCAAGCATATCAGGTGCGTGTTCCGCGCGCGTGATACCTCGCCGAGATATCCGGAGGCGCGGCCGCGCTTTCGAACGCGATCGAAGCTATTGGCGCGAAAGGGCCAAGAATTATCTGCATATAATACATTTGCACGCGCACGGCCTTTGGTATATTCGCGATAATCGCAACGCTTCGCGGCCCGCGATTATTACGGCGAATATCAAAGACCACCGGGACGCCGCGCAGCGGCCCAAGTCGGGGGAAGACTTCGCTTGCACGCCGAACTCCCTCGGGCCCTTCTCCTCGAGTTACAGAGCGCTTTTACCACGCCGAATGGCAATTGTTACAGATACTAAAATTGTTTATGTCTTTGAGAAAATTAAGATATTCAACACACTGAATATTTAATACACTGAAAATCCGAATTTCCCTTACACCAAATTTTAGGTAATTCAATTGATACTGTTCGAATATTAACCGTAGATGATTTTGATTCAAATATTAGTAAATGTTCATAATTCTTACCATAGGTCCAAAAGAATTACTGTAAACAGAATAATTTGAATTAATATTTCATATAGAGTGGGGATCTGATTTTTAATGTATTAAATTGAGTGTCTTCTTTCCATTAAGATTTGAAATTTTCAATTACTTTTTCCGGTAAATATACGTTAGCATGCATAGAAATAATGCGACTCCCGAATATTTTGGTAGCTTGCTTTTAATTGTATAAAATAAAATATGCAGGAAAGTTTGATCTCTTTATTTGGCGGAGAACAAAACATACGGTAATGAAAAGTTCGTCATAATGTCGTTACGAAACTGTGCACTGTGCTGTGTACTGTGTGGTAAAATTAAAGGTTTAACATAGTGCCAAAATTTCGACTCTCGAAATGTTGAGATATCCAGACTAATAAACAATTCGTTGGTAAGAATTAATGATAACAAATCAAGACACAGCGGTTGAAAGACGCATTCGCACCAACTCTCGATAGGTGGAGCAGCGCCTTCGCCATCGCGCCGGCGGTGATCTCCTGCTTGGGCATCGTGGCGACCTTGGCAGTGGCCTGCTTGCTCTTCCAACACCGGGACACCCCGGTGGTGAGAGCTTCCGGGCGAGAACTAAGCGTAATCCTACTGGCGGGCGTGCTGGTCTGTTACCTGAACACCTTCCTGCTGCTCGCTACGCCGACTACGGCGACCTGCGTGCTGCAGCGCTTCGGCGTCGGCGTCAGCTTCAGCGCCGTTTACGGCGCCCTCCTCACCAAGACCAACAGGATCGCTAGGATCTTCGACTCGGCCTCGAGGTCCGCCGTCAGGCCACGATACATCAGCCCCACCTCTCAGGTTTGCGTCGCGGCCGCGCTGATCGCCTTTCAGGTGAGTGCTGTCCTCACAGGCTGATACAATTTGGGCCGAGGTTGCCACCTGGGCGTCTTCTGCGAGGCCCCTTGGCCACCCGGGATTCCCTTATTTTCTTCGTTCTCCGTCTTTGTCTCGTCTCATTGTAAAGTCAAATCGACTCCAATTTCCCGGATGCTGCTCGTTTCTGCGACACTCCGTCGAGATTCTACGGGGACGAGAGACTTCGTGATCTCGTCAGGGTGACGATGAGAGTATGTCGGTGTCATTAGACGCTGCTTCGAGCACGCGCGCGCAAGAGAGAGAGAACAAACCGTGTCTCGAGCGAGTAGTAAATGTGTCGTCTCGCCTCTGATGATATGCTAAGCAGTCCCAGAGATCCGAGAATTACCCCATCACTAGTAGGGATAATAATAATAATAATAATAATAATAATAATAATAATAATAATAATATTTATTTACGGGAAAGAGCATCCTTTGATCACAAAAATAGTCTGATATATTAAGAATACAAAAGAGGAATATTCAGCATTCTCTTAAGAAAAAATCAGAATATTGAAACAATACAATCAGTTACTGATCAATTTTTATCAATAACTGGTTATGTTTCAACGTATCGTTTCTTTTTCTTAAAGGTTATCAAAGATATAAATATAGAAATAAAGTACAAACTAGTAAATGTTAATAAATTAATAGGTAGAACTAAAAATGTCAATGAGTGAATTTTTCAAGCTTGATGGTATTTCGCTGAAAAAATCCGCCTTAGATGAATTTGGATGATCTAAAAAGAAAAGAAGCGTTTCGCTTGTAACGGCCGTACTTCCATGAAATTTTACACGGTATATGTGTTGTGTGTGCGTGTATACGCGTATCTGAATTTAAATATTTGCTCGTAAGACAAACGCGACGACTACCGGTAAGTTACATCGTTGCATCTCGAAATAGGCAGCCGGTTAGTTATCTTGAAGCGAACTGAGCAGAGAGAGGTCAATCAAACCGTCTCGCGCGCGTTTTCCGGTAATGCGATTAATAAGAATTCCTTTTTTCCAATGCCATCGGATATCAATAACGCTTAATTATTATACAACGATGGGAGAGTAAAGTTGGTCCCGCGCTTTTCGTCTCGTCTTTCGTCGAGAGGGGGAAAGACTCAGTCGCGATTTCAGGTGGTGCTCACGCTGGTCTGGATGATCATCGAGCCGCCCGGCACCAGGTTCTTCTTCCCGGACCGCGGGCAGGTGATCCTCAAATGCAACATCCAGGACATGAGCTTCCTGTTCTCCCAGCTGTACAACGCCATCCTGATCCTCATTTCGACCATCTACGCGGTGAAGACTCGCAAGATACCCGAGAACTTCAACGAGAGCAAGTTCATCGGCTTCACCATGTACACCACGTGCATCATCTGGTTGGCCTTCGTGCCGATCTACTTCGGCACCGGGAATGCTCACGAGACGCAAATCACGACGCTCTGCGTGGCCATTAGCCTCAGCGCCTCCGTCACTCTGGTTTGCCTCTATTCGCCCAAGGTCTACATCATCGTCTTCCAGCCGGACAAGAACATCCGCGGCAAGGTCTACATGGGCAGCACGTTCAAGAAGCAGAGCAGCAGCGCCGGTGCGTCCATGTCAAAATGTGAGAGCGCGATGGCGATGCGTCGGATCGTTTCGGCTTCTCGGTCTACGATACGGCCTGTCCGCTTTTTTCTCTCTCTCCGTCGAGTAACACACCGGGTAGGTCTTGATGACGTCTGTTCGCGCGGCGGATTGCTTGAGAATACATCAAGACGGTGATCTTGCCGTAATAATTGCCGAATTGGTTATATCTTCTCTTTCAAATTTCTCAAGTTTTTTTTTTTTCTAATTTTGAAGATACCAGAAAAATCGCGGATCTCTTTTGAACTTGAAATACTTCCAACTCGACGATTCTGGTCTGTCGCAAAATCTGAGGCTTTCGGAATAGCGCTGTCAATTTTGAGTACCCGAGTCTTTCGGTAATCGAGCGTACGGTTAAGTTCAGACGTCATTATTTATATCTATTATCGTCGGTAAAATCAATAATTTTGTAGCGTCTGAAATTAGCCGTATATTCAGTAATTATTGAAAAATTCGGATACCCGGGTAGTCGAAATTGACATCTCTATTTTGGAAAATACAAACAGCCGTAATTCAATTCGAGAAGTCACCTGGGGTTAAACCCCAATTAAAAGTCGCTATTATTAACCAAATATAGCATATTATCGATTGCTTTATGATTTATTATTTAGGGACATTATAAATATAGACTTGCTCGCTACTTTTTAAAAAGAATGAAAAGAGGCATCAACAAATAAATATTTAAAAAACGGAATAAGCACATCGAATGTTCGCGATCGTTTACTTAAAAAAAAAAATGACTGCTCCCGGACTAATCAAAATCTCATCCATTCCTCAATTATGATCTTTTTCGTCGGCTCGGGAGAAGACCCACGTGCGAGGGAACACCGTGGAACCTCACGAACTTCAACAAATTTCGACAAAGGGGTCTCTTCTTTCCCCGAGACCGCTCTGAGAGAGCGGCTTCTTCGCGGCTTATCCGACCTTGATTGCGTTGCCTCGCCGGCGTGTCGGGAAATCCGACGCCGAGGTTCGGGTGCAAAGTCGCAAAATCGCGGCCGCTCGGCGCTCTCGCTCGCGGAAAGAAGGTAATCGATACGTGGACGGACGCGATGGCATGATATTCGATAGTAACGCGCAGCGGATGTAACTTTCTGACCGGGATCTGGGGCAATCGAGGGAAACGAGGGGGGAACGGGCGTGTGGTGTAGATCGAGAGAGAGAGAGAGAGAGAAAGAGAGAGCGGGAGGGGAGAAGGGTGCATTTCACCGCGGATTGGAAGCTTTTAGTTTATTAAATGCTTCATTCGTAACGCATCTCTTCCTCTCCTACACCCTCTCTCGACCGCTCGTTCCCTCTCGTTCAAAGGAAACGCCGTTTTACTCTCACGTCTTCGAGCCGCTCGTATCGACATCAATGCGCAGATTGATATCGTTGATCCGCCGCTGACGGAAATCGCTGCCGTTTCTCGTGATTAACCGGCCGGTTACGTGGCCCAGCGCTACGCAATTACGCAGGATTACAGAGCACGCGCGCGCGCTAATGGGCGGGGAGCGGATCTGCAGGCGAGAGGGAAGCGCCGCGTCGGTGGATGATTCGCCCCTAAGCGGCGCTAAATTATTAAGTTAATATGCGCCGCTGGCCGCAAGTCCTTTGTGCTCTCGCGGATTCACAGGGTGGATTATTCGGTGAGGACATTATTTCGGCGCGATTCGGCGCTGTCTCTTTCTCTCTCTCTTTCTCTTTCTATCGTACGGGCCGTATAACGCATACGGCGCGGTTACGTGATCCGCCGGTCGATGGGTGACTCCGCGGAACGAGACGGCAAGAGAGAGAGAGAGCGGCGCTTAATGCGAAACTCAATTATTTCACGTCGCGGCGACGGTATATTATGTTAATGCCCGGGCGACTCGGGGAAGCGGCAAAGGTCGACTAAGTGCCGTAATACATTCCACATGCGCTCACTTCCTTCCTTTGACATTTTCTCCCGGCCTTAAGCATTAAGCGCGACACATCCACTTGCCGGGCTGTTCCCGGCAGCGAGGCGGGCCTGAAGAACGGCTGGGTATTATTCGAGAGTACAGTTTGACGGTGGTGTGTATGCGTGCGTGTAAGAGAGAGAGAGAGAGAGAGAAAGAGAAATTGCGCCGTCTCGGAGTCTGCGAGATAGTTGTATCAGCGGCGAATTATTGAATGGAACAACCGTACACGCCGGGCCATCAATCATTCTCTCAGTCATCCCGAGTAATACGGAAAAGTCATGCGAAAGCGTTCCGAGCCGTCGGCTCCAATCGTTTTACCGCGGCGGTATGTGCTAATATTTGAAGAGCGATAGTACCAAAGAGACCCCGCCACGCGTAATACGTTCCTCGCGCGTACGTTAATAACGCGCTCGCGCTAATACCTCCGCTATGTTGCTACTACTCGGTTCTGCTCTCTTCCCCGTTCTCTTCCATTAATCCTACACGAACTTTCATTTGTGGATTAATCACGATCACAAAGCAACTCGTCATCGGCCTTGAAGGGGATTAACGTTAAACCCCCGAAGGGCCGATGTCGGGGATCCGACGAAACTTCATTATGCGGTATTCACAGGCGGGTATCTTATATTTCACCTTCAGACGCTGCACGGGCCGTTTCATCGGCTATTGGAAGATGAACTCAGAAGCCTCTGAAGATCAACTCAGAAACGATTTTGACCTATCGACCGAATACTTGTGAAAAGTCGCTCGCACTGCAAACAGGACCATACTGACCCTGTTGCGATTTTCTAAATTTTATATCTGAAAAATGGTGAGAAGAAAGAGATTGGCAAAATTCTAGAATAAAATGTAACTCTTTCCATTCATCTACGGGAAATCATCTCTTTGGTACATCCGAGATATTTCTACGTATCATTCAAGAGAGAAATAAGAAGAAACGATGAGAGAGAGAGAGAGAGAGAGAGAGAGAAAAAGAAAAATAAAAAGATATCGCGAGATTCCGGAAACATTCGCCGGGAGAGAGCGGAGCGATACGTTTCGCGCGTTCGTCCCATGACGGCATCGCCACTCCCACGTTAATTAACCATCGATTAACTGCATCCTCGGCGATTCGACCGGGGTTTACATGGGACTAACGAAAGTGTCGATTTTGCAGACGCAGGCTGCGAGCTGGCGACGAGCGAGAACGTGCCGCTGCAGAGTGCCCTGACGGCGGCGGTGCGGACGTCCGTCGGGGTCACCGAGATTTCGCTGACGTCCAGCACGACCAGCAAGACTAATAACGAGCAAGTGGCACAATTGTAGGCTCGCAAGCGTTTGTAGACAAGTACCACGGCCTTCGTAATTCGGTGAACGGAATCGGCAATTGATCACCGTCGATGCGCGTTCGCTTCTACCGACGAGACGCGTACATTGTAGCGAGGACGCGTTGAGCGCCTTGACTCGCGTGTTATCGTTATCGTTCGCATCTACTGTCAATCGAGAAGAACGAGAGAACGCGAGAGAGAAAGAGAGAGAGTGTATGTATGTGCGTGCGCGTTAAAGAGAGAGAGAGAGAGAGAAACGTCGAGAGATCATCAATCGTTATCATGCTCGCTGTTGTCGTTATTGTTACTGTTGTCCTTGCGCATGAAGTACACACATACCTACGCGAGAGCAAACACACGGATACGTGTACAACACACACACACACACACACACACACACACACACACACACACACACACACACGATACGTCGCACATTCACACTCGTATGTGTGCGTGCATTTATCGGGCAAATATATTAGCGAGTGATCTCCACTAATTCTAGTCGTCAAGCACCTCGTCCGATAAGTACCCGACTTCCATTAGGAATGTAAATGTAATTTCGCGTTGCTCCCTCTTCCCTCTTTGTTTCTTCTTTACCTTTTTCCCCTTCTTATTCCCAAACTCGCTCGCGATCCTCGTATCCGCGAGATAGATAGCAGTCATCCCAACGTCCCACGAGAGCGCCTTCCGACGAGATAATCGTACACAGTGGACAATAAATAAATCGACTTAAAGCAAGCGTGCAATTATATCGGAGCAGTCCTCCTTCCTCCCCCCTCTCCCTCCCGCCCCCGCCTCGAAGTGTCGAGAGCACGTTATTATTCAACGGCGTCGTTTCGAGCATCTACTCAATCGTTTCTCGAGTCCTCCTTCCTCTTCCCTCTGCCCCCCCCCCACTCTTTCGTACGTAACACTATAAGAGCGTTATTGTATTATATCGGAGCGATTAAATCGTCCGATCTCTCCTTCCCCTCTCCCCCACGGCCGCCGAAGCCAAAGCGACGTACAAAGGAAAAATGATATCTTTTCTATTATAATGAACGCGGTGTAAAAAGAGAGACGTAGATCATGGACATGGAATAAAGTAATTGTTGAATAGCGCGCCGAGTGCGATTCATTTCGACCCGTCCGTTCATCCGTCATTAATCCCGAAAATTCAACCTGATGTCCATATAAAATGTTAAACTATGGCGACTTCTATGAAATTCAGAATTAAGTAATCGATGAATAATAATAAAAATCGCCGACATCAATTTCCAGTCCTGTTCAACTTGTTCAACAATAATCGGAAAGTTACACGGACAAAAGTTTAGTTATATTAACCAGAAAGGGAACTGATGCGAATTTTGGTTGAGGGAGACGAAATTTTTAGTTATAAAAGCCACATTTGGGTCACAGAAATCAGAGATTCTGTTTCCTTCAACCAGAACGCATCTGTTCTCTTTCTGGTTAATGCAACCGATTATTTTCCGTGTAGTAATTTTTATTTGCGTTAGCAAGACAGAACGAGTGATATTTGATTGAAAGCAATTTTAAATTGTCGATTATTATTATTATTATTATTATTATTATTATTATATGCATTACAAAGAGAGAAAAAACATAATGCAAATTGAATTAAAGTTATTCAAGATAAAAATTACATTAACATCAAAATAAGAAACTACATGAGTTTAGCTCAGAGCAATATGAGATAAATTTAAAAAAGTGTCCAATATTATTGGACATCGGATTGGCCGACATTTCCAAACGATAGATTGCGTTGAATTTCCCACACGACGCATGATTTCGGGAGATATTAGATTAATCAGAGTTTAATGGAAGACACTTTTAGACTTACTTGTAAATTAGCGTGTTGAGATGTACGTAGTTAGTCTCAGAAGGGCGCGCGAGCGTGAAGACAATGCGTTCCGAGGTAGACGTGAGACCCTGCGAACCCGCGAATCGAAACTAACCTGAGGCACATATAGAGATCCGTTAGCTGCGTGCGCGTGGTTTGTGGAATCCTAAATCCTTGGATGTTTTAACACTACCTGCGTCTCAACGAAAAGCCCTATTTCAAACTTGTCTGACGGTTAAGATAGTTGTATCGCAGAGTGCCGTATTTTTAGCAGCGCGTCAAGGGGCCCACTCATAAATTCAGTATTTATCAAGCAAAATTACACTCCTATACATTTATTTCCCTATTTAAATAATAAATGTTGATTTGAAGTGAAGTTGAGGTAGACACATACACAATATTACAAATACGAAAATATTATTTTTCCTATTCATTTTATTTTTATGTATTATTTATTTGTATTAATTGATTACCATTTTTATGTATTTGTTGATCTGAGATCACAGATAATAAAAAGAGATATATAAGTATTTAAATATACGCAGATGTATTCTGATTATTACTATAAGTTGTGAATTCTACACCATTTTATTTTCAAAATAAAATGGTCGGTAATTTCGAAATTTTTGTATGTAATGCCTCTATATTAGTCCTTAATATCACAGTAATTTCTAATTAAAATTCTAAGATTTAGAAGGAATTAAAAACAGAAGGTAAAAATAGAACGTTAACACTTTGCGGGCCGCTGTCACGCTGACGTGACTTTTGCTCGCCAACCGTTATCGGCCGCTGTCACGCTGGCGTGACTTTTGCTCGCCAACGACTTTCGGCCGCTATCACGCTGGCGTGATGGTTTGACGATCAGGAAACATTGTTTTCAACTGTTTTCCTTATTTTAGTGCCTTCTTTAATAATAATTATATACCAACTACTTATGTATCGAAAAATTGCGTAAATATCACCGTTGGCGAGCAGTAGAACCTGCGTGAATCTCGCCGGCGGCAGCGTAACGGCGCTTCGATAAATGCGCGGCCCGCAAAGTGTTAACATCAAGGAACACGTGTAAAAAGTGTCATTTTCAGTTGCGAATACCTCAGCTTCCGAATGGACGATCCACTTACACCCAGATGGAAACGCGTGATGATCACATTTCATTAGAATGTGACTGTCATAATACCTTTTTTCAAAGATCTCTGCGTGATTGACATGACATAAGCGCATGACGTATACAAATGATGTACAAATATGCGTGCACGTTCTTGATTTCATTTTGATTAATATTACTACACGAGATATTTTTCTGACATCGTGACACGAACGACATCTGAGCAGCATATGCGCACGCATTTGTATGCATTTCCGAGATGGTGTGACGTCAATGTGTGAACGCATGTTCAGCACTGCACGACATCATTTTGCTATCTGGGTAATCGTGCTAATAACTAGGTCACATTTGAATCTATGTATAACGCAAATTTCAGCGAATTCCCCAAAAAATCATTTTGTGCTACAACTATCTCAAGTAATTACGATCATTCCTTTGACAAAATGATAGAAATATTTTGCTGGAATACTCTCTCAATTAGCTCCATTTCATTGATATACGCAGTTTAATTTTTTATTTTCCGTTTAATTCAGTAAATTTCATGATATCTAATATTTCAAAAATTTCTTTATTACCTTTTCAGAATGATACTTTGATTTTCATTATATTTCACAGCACTACACTGAATTTTATGATGAAAATTAGGATTTATCTTGAAATATTTTTTACTACATATTTCAATAATTTTTCAGTAACTTTCATCTCGCTGTTTTTCAAATTTATAATATATCGGTACTCGAATACACGGAAAGTTAAAGTATACTGTTGAAATTTACCGAATTTAACGGAAGAACCGCGTACATTGACGGAACGACAATGAAGCGCGGGATCAATTGCGAAGGGACATCGGTAAGCAATTTTCAGCACAATATTTCTGTCGGGAAAGCGTGGGATTTCAATGTGACAAGAGCGCGGGGCCAATTTTCTCTCATCACACGGAGCGCGATTTTCAAATGCATAATTCACAAATGCCGTCTGTTGATGACGTTATCGTGTTGACCGGCGGTAAGAGAATTGTGGGAGCTTCGCAAGTGCTGAATGAAAAACAGTAACTCCGTTCGATCAGAGCCGAGCGCGCGTGTCACAGCACGTACGACAATGTTGCGCCAATTTGACTCGAAAGTTCACCGAGTCACACGTCGTGCTGCACGTATTGTCCTCGCTCTCGATACTCGGCTTCCAGCTGGGGAAACTCGTAAAATTCCATTGGAGGCCGGAGCCGCGCGCCGAGGAAAAGAAATCCGAGCGAGCGTCGATGCGGCAGGACGGAAACGAGTCTGTCTTGAAGCGGAAAGCCGTCGCTGTCGTCGTCGATTCGCGTATCACTCATGTGTAGGTTCATCGACGGAACGCGCGCGACGCTCGGGTCGCCCGATAACGTGGCTCGATATTCATACCTCCGTCGACTCGTTCTTCATCGCGTTTGAGACGATTCGAGGCGAGAAACCAGTAGGTATCGCAACGGCCCTGAGTGTGAATCCTTTCTCCGGAGACGAGCGAAGAGACGGTGGGCGCGTGAGATCGATCACACCCGCTTCCTCGACGGCGTCGATGCGCGTTTATCGATGCCGTTATCGGCCGTATGTTGCATAATTAGCTGTGTCGCCTGTTTCGCTGTCTCGTGAATAAACATACTCATCGTGTTCCGAAAAACGAGCGCACCGGTCTTTCTCCGCATTCTGCCGTCTCTCTACGTGCTCCTGATCTTCGTGCTTTCGGACGAAGTGGTCAATGGCTCTCTCCAGCAGGTTACTAACTATCTCACGACTGGTGAGTAGATCCGATCACTGAAGCGAGTGCACGTGTCGGCCCGGTGTTTTCCCGAAACGCCATATGCCAGTCGCAACTATCGCGGATTCTTACCAGTGATGCAGTTACCCAGCGAGCATCCTTGTGGAAATTGAACCCTGAGAATTATCAATTTGGAAGATTTTAATTTAGACTAATTTGGAGGATTTACAATGATTGAATACTGGTACTATTTCAGTAATTATTCAATACTTAATCATTAGTTAATATATTTCAAATTGTGTGCTTTTTCTTCTTTCTTTCTTTCTAAGTCCTGTGCCTCTTTGCAGAAGCGTGGTGACCTCTCTCATCAAATTGTGTACATAAAATGTTTTTTTTATTGATATTAATAATAAGATAAAAGTGACAAAAGAAGAAAAAAATACAAACTCAGGATAATATTGAACCTGGAGTTATCCAGTTAGCAATCAAACATTCTAGATCTTCTACTATCGGAACACTTGATTGACATATACTCACTATCTATTGTACTTCTATTGTTTTCTCAATATTTAATTACTGCAAATCCCGTAATTCTCAGTATTAAATTTCTGTAAGAGTATATTTCATCACTATTGCGCTATTAAACATTAGTACTTAAATATTCATATTAACGATAAGGTGATATTTAATCACTGCAATCCTAAGCGCTGAAATGTTCGAGATCACCGGAAATTAAAACATTGATGTTGTGTTACTGTTGCATTCTCAATTAACCTGTTCTCATTGAGCGGAATCGGCTCACCACTCGCTGAGATCGAGAGTACTCGTGCTGATCGCGTGGCCGTTTATGCGTAGGTCGAGAAGTCACGCGAGCCGATATGTCGATTCATAGCAGCCAGTTCGATCCGGCCCGGCGTCGTGGTGCCGTTCAAACTGTCAGACATCGGCGAAGGAATTCGAGACGTCACGGTGAAGGAATGGTATGTCTGCTGAGGAACGCGCTCATTCTTCATGCGGGCGCTCGAGTACCCGGGCCGCCGGGAGGTCAAATTCGCTTAATTCGGTTTAATTCGAAACCAGCCTCGGCGGAACGACTGACTTGTAATTTTCAAACATCGTTTTATGTCCCGAATCTTTGCCCGAATTGTTATTTTTTTACTTTTTCTATACTAGACGGTCACCGATCAACCAAACGGAACGGCTTTTTAGTTTAAGGACTCCGGACACGAGTCAGTCATTGTTTTAGATCATTGAGACAATGCTCCTTTTCATGTTGCTATTCGGTTAGGTGAAACTATTTCACTATTCCTTATTTTATTCATAAATTATGTATTATTGTAACTTTATGCTGCACTTTCGGTTTCTTTGAGTTTTGGATTCGCTGAATCTCAAAGATATCGTCTACCAATTACAATTCTTTTCGTGTCACGTATACTAAAAGGGGTTTCCCCGTTAATAAAAATTATTGTACCTTACGTTATTGCGTGCGTTATGTAAGACAAAGGCTGTTCTGCCTGTGTGTTGCCTATGTAAGACGAAGACTTAAAATATAAAACAGTCCTGAACCGATAAGTAAGCCGTTCCGCTAAGGTTTTTCATACACAAAAACATTTTGTACTCGCGCCAACATCGGTCCTTGTTGCACCTTTTTTTGTGTTATATAACATACCCGTGTGTTAATTTAAACAGTTTTGCAGTGGAACTCCGGGATATTCCCGGCAAAATACCCATACTTACAACTATTACGACCGCAAAGAGTTAATATGTTGTGTTTGTGTTATCTCAATATTTTGTGTTGAATCGATATTCAACATGTATTAAAGGTTGATAGTACTTTTTCAATAAATTCCTAATGTTTTGAATTCAAGAAGGTCTATTAGCCGAAAAGATCTCGCAGAGACCTGGAATTAACGAGAGAATTTCGAGAAAGAGAAACGCGAACGGGGCTGGGCAAAATGTACCTCTGACAACCGGATAAAGCGGTTTGACCTTCCGCGTCGCCGAGTGTCGCCGGTATGCGATGTAATCGCGATAGTGCATTGGTGCGCACGGTGTTTTAGGTTCGTGAAGCCCGGTGACCGGGTCAGTCAGTTCGACAACATCTGCGAGGTGCAGAGCGACAAGGCGTCGGTGACGATCACGAGCCGCTACGACGGCCTCGTCAAGGCACTGCATTATAAGGTTGATGACGTCGCCTTGGTAGGCGAGCCGTTGATCGACATTGAGGTAGAGGACGACTCGAAGGTGAGTACCATCGTGGGAGACGCAGGGAAGACTTCTGACGTGGATCAGACGACGGGCAAGGATGAGAAGACGGACGGAGCGGAGTCGGTGGATCACATTCTGCAGAAGGTCCTGGCGACCCCGGCGGTGAGAAGGATAGCTCTGGAGAACAAAGTGAGGCTGAAGGATGTGGTGGCGACCGGTAAAGGTGGAAGAGTGATGAAGGAGGACATACTGGCGCATCTGCGGCAGATTTCCGCGGATCCGGCTCAGCCGACCAAACAAGAAGCTCCGCAGCAGGCGTTCGGAAGCGTGACGGGTAGGACGGTCGGGATCAAAGGGTACACGAGACACATGTGGAAGACCATGACGCAGTCTCTGGTGAGCGTGCTGCGCCAAGTGTTACTTCTGCCTGCCCTCAGCCAGCTGAAAGTATCGCAAATCTGATTAAGTTTTCGGCGAGTCCTGCCCAAAGAGGCCGGTGACCTGCCAAAAGAGAATCACTTCATTAATCATTGATTCATTAATCAGAAGACTTCGAAGGGAATGGAATTTGGACTGCTTTATGCGAGAGTGACGTGACTCTTTGTATTTTAAAATAAGGAGCTACATGCACCCGAGTGGCTCGGGAAAACGTCCAATGTTGGAATTTTATGGTTTATCTTGAGAATTATTAAGTCGATTTAACTGTAACATAAGTATTCTTAGCGAGATTATTTAGTCTTTGTCGTAAGATTTTTGGATAATTTGTTTATAAACAAAAAGAGGAGAAAATTTGTGGCGAGAAATCGATCTTTTGATTTTGAATGTTAATAATTTTATCAAGAATTAATATTTTAAAAATCATATAATATGTAAGTGAAAATATTGAAGAATCACTTCAAAAGGTCATCTCCACCAAGTCATAATTTGGTTAGTAGAAAAACTCAAACATTTGACATTTTTCGAGCTGTTTGGGTTTATGTAGCCTCTTAAGCAGTAACGTTTCTGATCGTTTCTACGTATATACCACAGTCTTCCAAAGAACGACATCCCTATGTTCTAAGGACGCCCATAGGACGTCCATTGGATAAAGTGTGCTGTATGGGTAACAATACTTACTTCAAGGTGTTGTTCAAGGGGAGTACTTCAAGATTAATGTTATTCACAGCATTTTTTTTGCATTAATTCGACCGTCGATCTTGTAACTAATTTTCCCCTTGTAAAAATATTTCGCATTTTTTGACCTGTGAAAACTGTCAATTTGAATAATGAAAACGTGCATTCAGCTGAATATGATCTGGTTTTAAGGGCTTTGTGATACTTCCTCGTTAAATGTAAAACTCGACGAATCGCAAGCATCATTAACGACACCGAGGACTCCTTCCAGAGCATACCGCACTTCGTCTACAGCGACGAGTGCAACGTGAACCAAGTGATGCACTGCCGGAACGAGGTGAGGGGCGAGTTGGAGAAGCTGGGCGTCTCGCTGACTCTCATGCCGTTCTTCATCAAGGCGGCCTCGAGAGCGCTGCAACAGTACCCCGAGCTGAACGCGTGGTTGAACGAGGCGGACCAGACGCTGCGTGTCATAGACAATCACAACATCGGAGTGGCCATGGACACGCCAGACGGCCTGGTGGTGCCGAACATCAAGAATGTGCAGAGCCTGAGCATACTCGAGATCGCGAAGGAGCTCAACAGGATTCAGGAACTCGGCAAGCAGACTGCGATACCGCTCGCCGACCTCGCCGACACGACCTTCTCCTTGTCGAACATAGGCATGGTGAGTTCGATCTGTCTCGACAGCGTTCGTTCGCGAGCTCAGCGAGAACTTGATTGTTCAGGCTTCTCCTGAAAAGTCAGACACGATGCATGTAAAGAGTGACAATAAGTCTCTGCTTCCTAAAGTTCTCAGAGTGAAATCTCAGAAATCTCAGAAAGTCACTCAAAGCATCGAAGCGACAGTTAAGGTATTCAGAATCGTAAGAATATTTTACTCGAGTTTAGAAAATGAATTGCTAAGTCCTATACTAAAATAGCTGTGATAAGCCTCAATCTTCCTGTAGTCTTCGGGTCTATTTGATACGGAATAATTTTTACTTCCCTGTCACATTTTATGTGATTTGAATGAGCGTTCTGGCATTTTATAATTTTGTTTCATAGTTTAGTTTCAAATTAATATTCTTGAGCCAAGAACCGTCTATAATAGCCGTAAAGTATGCAGTAAGACGTAAGCAGTAAGCTAATTGACCAATTGATTCTGACCAATTGATTGAGTCCGAGAATAATCGAATGTGATTGTTCAATTAGCTTGCTGCTTACGTCTTACTGCATACTTCACGACTATCGTAAATTGTCCTTTAACTTTTTGTTCTAAGCAATAAAATACAACGTGATTCCTGACGAAAAGCGTTTCTCACGTTGCCAAAAGTCGTAATAACGCTTAAATCTTAGGAATTGCGATGTCCAGCGTTGGAAATGCTTTTCGTTAGGAATTACGTTACAATTTACTCCAAGTAAAAGCTGGAGAATTTACTCTAATGAGTGAAAAACCATTCGAGTGACTCGGCTTCGAGTTGCTTTATTGTTCGACTGAAGTTTCACTCCGAGAAATTAATTCAGAGTACATACAAAAAAACACATACTGCGTTTAAATAAAAATTACCTGTTTCAAGTATTTTATAAGTTCATCATAAACATCGAATTTATTCAAAATATATTCTGAATCCTAGTAAATTTAGTACTTCGATTAAGAATATTAAATTAAAACTGTAAAAAATTCAGTTCACTTATATTCAAATCTCTTGAATTCAACTTTTCTTCGATAAAATGTATAACATTCTTGAGAAGAAACAAACCTTTTGCATAAATAAAAATGAGCTTTTTTAATATTTGTAATGAATATAATTCAATATTATTATCAAGAAAATATTTTTTGTTCAAAATAATCATTATCTTTGGCAGAAGAAGAATAAATAAACCGACTAATTGCTATTCTTCGCAGTGCAACGATGTTTTTCTCTGTGTGCTAGAAATCGTCTCATGATTACAGATCGGCGGGACGTACACGAAGCCAGTGATCCTGCCGCCGCAAGTGATGATCGGCGCGATCGGGCGGGCGCAGAAGTTGCCGCGATTCGACGACGAGGGCAACGTGGTGGCGGCGAACGTGATGGCGGTCAGCTGGTCCGCGGATCACCGTGTCCTCGACGGTGTCACAGTGGCCAAGTTCTCCAACTTGTGGAAATATTACGTGGAGCGCCCGCAGCTGCTGCTGATCGGTGCATGAGGAGTCCGGCGGGCGCAGGCAGCGAACACGCTCGTGATAATTTATACCAAGCTGCAGGGAAAATAACTTGTTATCGTAGAGGATTTCTACGACAACCAGGCGCGACAAAACGAGGATTCTCAATACAACGAGGAGGTGCTCTCGGGAGGAGAATTACATTATCTAGGAAAATTTTTTATTCGCTGTATAAAATGCGTCGGCAATAAACCGTTAAGTCCAGCTTTTACGTAAATATTAATTTATTTATTGCTGCACAACCAACTAGGACTTCTCGTTTTGAAGGTCAGACATCTTCCGCTAACATATTCAAAAATGCACAGTAATGATCAGAAGACGACGTCCGAAACGTAGAACGTAGTATGAGTATTTCTTTGTACATCGATCGGTTTTACAAACTATACACATGGTATAAATTATCATACGCCACGGCGGCAACGCGACGAAACGCATAGGGCACGCTAACGAAGTGGTTGTACCGCGCGACGCGGGCATCACTCGGCTTGAAACGGGTTAAGAAACGGTGAACACCGGGGGGAAGAGAGCACGACGACGACAATCAACGTCGACGAGATGCTCGCTCGTCGAATTACGTCGGAGACGTAAGAACGAGAAACGAAGAGAAAATGAGGAAGAAAAAGAGGAGAAAAAAGGGGAGAAAGAAAGGTGAGAAGATTGTCCGGCGCCATACGCTGTTGACGAGGAGAAAGGGAGAAGGCTCGGGTCGCACCTGAGAGATCGGAAGAACGCGGAGGAAACGAACGAGAGGGAAGAGTTACAAGAGGGGGGGAGGGGCACATGACAAAAAACAAGCACGAAAGGTACGACCACTTGATTGCTTTTCTCGTTTCGCTTAGATATATACGCAACAGGTAGTCATTTATAGCGTAGTACACTCATGAGGGCTACAACTTGTGGAGATTTGTCGATCACACGCGCTCAATTTCACCGGGACTCAACCAGTCCCCTCCAGTCATTCTCGGCGCAGGCAAGACGCTGCGTCGCTGAAGCACGCAATAGGTATCCAAAAAGGTAGTCAGTCTGTTTAGTTAGAAGTAGTAGAAAAAGAGTACAATATGTGTGCTTGTGGTCCATAAGAGTGGTGATTCTTCCGTCGACACCGGGCGTATTCCCCCGCCCGCCCCGTTCCTTAGCTCTCTCTCTCTCTCTCTCTCTACCTCTACCGTTTTTTTCTACGATCACCGTTCCGTTCCCACCACGTCTCGACTGCGGAATCGGTTGGTTAAATGCAACTGCGTCGGCGACGGTGACGACGACGGGACACCGCCGAGGGTGAGAACAACGACGAGCCAACGGGCTGGAAAATCAACTGCGCGAGTATAACTCTACTGTGTATAAATTAAAGGAGGAAACGAGAAGAAGAGGGGAAAAAGAAGAAGTGCATGGAGGACTGTCGGTAGACTCTAAATCGAAAATGTCGACGACGACGCCGCGGACATCGGAGACATACATCGTCGACGAGAAATCAAACTGGCGAAAGGGCGCTAACCGGGCTTGTCTGTGTTATTATCGTTCTCTCGACACGTGACTAGGTGCTTAGAAATTATCTTACACATATTCTCTCTCTCTCTCTCTCCCTCTCCTGAAATCGAAGACACGAAGACGCGGCTCCACTGACTTGCTCCGCACGCCCGCAACTTACCGTAAAATCTTATCGTACGTAACACCGAACAAAGATACGAATACAGACACTAAATTAGCAACAACGATATCCTTCATCTTCGCGTAACGCCCCCGTCCCGGTACCGTCCCTTGACGGGGATTGTATGCACTAGGAGTTGTCCCGGATCTTTCCTTTCCGTCCGTGCTTCCTCGATATCTCACCGGTCGGGGATTAACATTGGTGAAGAGATCGACATTGGTTGCGTGAATGAAGGAAATTCCGATTTCCTGCCCGACAAGGGAGGGGGAGATAACCGGCGGGGAAAACCGGTGGGGAAAACAGGCGGGACACCTCCTGTCCGGTAGACAGTCTCTCATTCGTACAGCGCCACGTGGACTTATATCCGGGTGGTAGAGGAAATCACGACGACGTCGAGACGATGAGAAAATGACTGTAACACTGGCTCGATCACGGTTCGACCACTTTCTCGTCATTTCGATGTCACTGGCTGCGCGTTCAGGAAACACAACGGTTGAGTGAACGCTCATTGGCATAAAAATATTCTTTTAGATCCGTCGTGGACTCTTAAGCCTCCCGTGGCCAAGTGGGATATTTTATAAATACCCCGCGACAGTTTGTCGTATTTAACTTTACTGTTATCATATATGTGTATTATTTTTGTATCACGGAATTATAGTGCAATTTTATTTTATAGTTGTTTGACATTTGATGTGGATTTTGTGCGAGAAAAGAAGATCGAAAGACCGAGTTTACGAGGCGGCACCTGATGAAAATTTATCTGTAAGATTCGTAGAAAAGTGGAGTAAACAAATCACTGATTTGCCTGATTTGCCAAAGAGTGAAAGTAATTGAGACTATTTGAGCAAAAGAGTAATACTTATATAGTATCTGGTATCAGAAACTGGATACTTATGTATTACTTTTTTATGTATTAATTCTGATAATGACTGAGCAAATAACGTGAAAAGGATTTTTCTTAATTAACTGGCATATAAATTATATATTATTCTTTATATTCAATCACGTAAGAAAATGAAGAATATCTTAAACTTAATACTTGAAGGGTATCTTAAACTTAATATTTTTATATTGAATAGCGCTGGAATGCCTCAACGGCCAATGACGGAAATTCTAGAATTTGGCCACGGAAGGGTTAAAAAAACGCCTCAATCATAGATGACAATCATTCAACGGTTGCTCAACACACGGTGTGTTCTCACACCATTCGTTTGGACGTTATCGTGATCTTCCCTTCTAGCCGGGCACTGATAATCTGATAATAAGCTCGTCAAATACATACGAACGCAAGTGTATAACGAAACAACAATTTCACTTGTGCTGGAGCGCATATCTCTCCTCGGCTCCCTTCCGTTCCGCTTCTTTCGCTCTTCGCTGCGCGCCGAGCGCGAGCTCCTCCTCGCTCTCCAGCCTCTCCTGCTCATCGAGTCGCGACGTGACATCGGCGACGCGCGAGAACGCGATTTCGCTTTGTCGATTCCGTGCGATGCGATGTCACGCTCGGCTGCCATGACACGCGTCGCAGGGAAACGCGGTTTCTACAAGGTACAGAGATGCGTCCCTCGCGCGGGACGCGAAACGTGGGATATATCGCGAGTAATCTCTCTCTCTCTCTCTCTCTCTCTCTCTCTCTCTCTCTCTCTCTCTCTCTCTCTCTCTGCCGCGGGGAATTCGCCAGACTCCGTTCGAGAGTCGGTCGCGTCACTACCGAAAGACGTCTCATGGTCGATAGTATCTAACAATGTTAACGATAAAAAAACTAAACAACGCTACTTATAAAAGGGTGTGAAACGCACAGTGTGTGTACGTGTGTGTGTGTGTGTGTGTGTGTGTGTGTGTGTGTGTGTGTGTGTGTGTGTGTGTGTGTGTGTGTGTGTGTGTGTGTGTGTGTGTGTTGTGTACGTGTGTGTGTCGCGCGGAACATAACGTTCGACCCTCTAAGCACCCGGTTTCGTATCGTCGAGAATGCAGACTTAGTCTATTATCGCAGACGTGGTTGCATCGGAGGTCGCTGGAACAGCGTCGAAATAAATGCGAAGTAATCACGCGCCGAGTAAGTCGAGGAATCCAACACTGACTCACGTTCACACGGCAGAACTTGAAATCGATCGAACGACGCTCGCGGTTGCACGTCTTTAGGTTTAAGATCAAGCCGACTCGACGATCCCGGACGTTGCAACTGCGATTACATCGGCGCGAAATGTCGTGTGAACAATCATATTGTAACTATACTGTACGACACAGGCAGTTACGACATCGAGAATTGTCAAGTTTTTTCCCCTCAACTTGGCTCGAGGGGCGGCTTGACTGATCGTGAGAACCGTAGACCGTCGGTTCTACTTTTCTACCTTCTTTTCAGAACTGGTTGCGCTAGTGGTTCAAGTTCGAGAGTTTCTCACCGAAGCGTGAGAATGTCGTACGTACGTACGCTTCATACGTTTTATTAGTCCGTTCTTTTTCGCTGAACTGGCTGCGCTAATTCAAGAAACGTTAACGCGGAAACAAAATTAGTCTTAAATCAAGAATAGATATTCTCGTATAGAAGCAAGAATATTATAATCTTCTCAGATTTTTAATTTTAAATTGAATTCAAGTAATACCTGCATCATGTATATACATGCAGAGTCACACGAAAAAGTACTTCACCATCACGTAAGCGTAGAAGCTACACAGCTCCTCAAAATTGAAGATGACTTAAGAAGACTTAAATGTAACAAACCACACAGGATCTTATCGTCTAATGACATGGCGTTAATCGATGAAAAAGAAGCTTTGATAATAATCTAAGCCCTACACAATTAACTTTTATTAGCGGTATTACTTATTTTAACAACAGACTTAGTTTAAGACTGTAATAAACATTAACATTAATAACAAAAGAAAGAAGATTATGACATTCTTGCTTACATATGAGAACATCTATTCCTGATTTAGGATTAAGTTTTTTTTCCCGTGTACGCACACTGAAGCGTGAGAATCTCGTGCGTCTCAACGTGTGTGCAAATTTCTCCAACTAGCGCATCCAGGTGAGCTGAGAAGAATTGACCACACGGTACGTCCGTATCGTATCTATATTACCGGATCGATTTCAAGTCACCGTCTAAACATCGTCATAGCCGGATGCCTGAGGATCGAACGGCGCGCTCGAGATCGAGACGGTGCTATATTGCGATCGGTGCTTCGAGAAAGGTGAAGTCGAAAAAGTAGACAGTCTGTGACTGTTAAACGGCTGAGGACACCGACACACACGAGTATAAACATTATCGATAATAAGTACGGCACATAGAAGAATATTTTTTGCTTTTCTTTCTCACCTCTATACACAAGGGCGACACGAGGCTCCCACAGAGAGAAGCGCCAATTCGTTACCCACGTTATTATTATTATTATTATTATAATTATTATTATTATTCAACACGTTCATGTGGGCTACCCTCTTCCCGAATAGTCGAACAAGATAGAATTTATAGCTTTGCCGTATAATGCAATAACAACACTACTATACAGTCAACAACGTAATAGAGATCGCCACGCGCTCTCCGTGGCGCGCGTGAAAAATCAATTCGGTCCCACGACGGACGACGTGCGCGGCGAAACACATGAAAACTCACTCCTCCCCCCATTGACCCTCTTTTTGCTTTTCTCCAACGAACACCTCGCGAGAAACAATCAAGAGGAAGAGAGAGTGAGTGAGTGAGTGAGAGAAATAGAGAGACTTATTTACAGACCGCTTGAATCTGTGGGAACCTCGTTCAACTTCGACAGATATATAAATCTGTATTTATATAATATATATGCATAGTATATATATATAATATATATATATAATCTTTTCTTTTTTTTTCATATATATACGTTATGTATATGGATAATAAATAGTACTTTGTTTCTGGCACATTGTCGGCTCTCTCTCTCTCTCTCGACGAGGAGAGCGCGCGAGAGTATAGGTGTAAACGAAAACTATTCTATATCAATCAACACACATCGCCACGTGGTGAAACGTGAACGCCTCGCATCCTGGAGTAAGAGAGACGTCGGGAAAGACGTTATTGTTCTAGCTGTGTGTTTCACCTCGGAGGGAGCTATTATGCCACGAGGGGGAGGAGCGGCGCCGCGTAATCACTCGAACTCCGGCCGCGAACGAGACACGAAGGTCGTTAAAAATAACATTCTATATCGTTTGTAGTATCCTAGCACGGGGATCACGTTTCATGTCCTGCATTAATCGTAGAACGATCGATAGTAACCTAACCTGTTTACAATCTTAGCCGACACAAATATATATATATATATATGTATATTCCTCTCATTCTTTCTCACGAACGTTGTGTATGTGTATTTGTATGTGTGACGCGTCACGATGTACGTATATCGATTTGTTCTCTTTCTTTCTTTTTTTCCTTGCGCGGATTTGATTAAAGAATATATTTAAATATATGTATATATATATATATATATATATATATATACATATATTTAAATATATTCTTTAATNTACGCGTGTTAGAGCTATATATATAAAATGTATTCAGTCTGAAGTATGTAAAGCGATCGTACGTCATCTAAAAGAATTAGAAAAAAGTTCTCGAATAACTTACAATCATTGGTGGCGACTTATCATCATAGACACAACGGCACCGGTAGCTCGAAGAACGGCAACAGCGTTATTGTGATCAGACTTGGTGAAGTCGATACCGTCTACCTCTAGAATCTTATCTCCCGGCCGAAGAGTACCCTGAGCTGGCCCGTCGGGATTCACCTTTGTCACGATTATTCCCTGCGACGAGGGAGAAACATAAGTTAGTATTTTCGCACTTCTCTTCCTCGAGAAGAGCCCGCGAATCTACTTACGGTTTCCGCACCCGCTACCCCGCCGGCTATACTGAAACCGAGACCTGGGTTCTTCTTTACCTGAACTGGCAGCTGTGAAGGAAAATCTATTATTAGAAGGATCGTCATAGGCCGAAGGATGAGTAGTTTTTTTCTGTAATCTTTTACCTTCGCTTCATTCCGTACATATATTTCCATATACAGAATAAAATGCTCTATTATTCGAGCAGAGAAAACTCAGATAAGCAAGTTTTCGAGTGACAGAGAAAAGATCACTTTTCTGACATCGACGTTCACTTCTCCGAAAATTATTAGCCAAGTCCCATGACACGTATAAAAACGTAAGCAGTAAGATATAATAAGCAGTAAGAAAATTTACCAATCACAGTCGCAGGCATAAGAGCGGTTTAACTGTCAAAAATAATGAAAAAAGTTTTGAGTTTATTCTTGAAAAGGTAGGAAAATAGTGAGTCAGCTTTCAAAGAAGTGAGTCTTATCCAAATAATTTGTGAGTTAAAAATTAAGTCGTTTATCTGTTATACCCCAAAATGCATTCCCAAAAGAGATGAAAAATTGACCGACTTTATAGTGAAGACCAATGAAAAGCAAAATTTGGATTCTCACACTCTACGTTCTCGATATTCTCGGATGAGCGATACTCACCACGTTGGCGTTCTTGTGAGGACCGAACATCCATTTGAACCTCGGCTTTTTCTCCGAATGAAGCGTCTCGTTCGACGCGGGGGACGCCTGCTCTTTCGTTTCGACAGCGCTGTCCGCGTCGCCTGAGGATTTGCAGTTAAAATTCGGCGTGTCTCGGCCGGAGTTGGTCTCGCTCTTGGCGACGGCGGTAGCGGGCGACGCGACGCTCGGCTCCTCGCCGGTGTTCTTCGTGACGACGAGATTCGGCCGACTCGGCGAGTCGACGTTGTCGCACGAATTGTTATTCGCGTTGACGTTCCCGTTCGTCATCTTCCTCGGCCGGTCGAGCGGCTTCGCCGACAACGTCGACAACGGGCTGCGATACTTCTTCCCCGTGATTGGCGACGTTGGTATGCTGGAGTACGCGCTCAACGACGTTCTGTTCGCCTCCTCCTCCGCCGCGGGACTCGCCCGCTTCACCGAGATGTCGCTGTTGCTCGTCGTACTGTTTTCTATGTGCTTCGCCTTGAGAACGGGAATTTTACTTGGCTTCAAGGCGCGATCGTTCTCGCACGCCTGTTCAGACGAGTCGGCGCCCTCCGGCACCGGTGTGTAGCTTTGGTCCGTCAATTGAGAGTGGTCGATGCTATCCGTTCCCGTCGCGTTGTCCGTCGTCGACGCGACGACGTTCGGGTCGGCCAAGTTCGCCCGGTGATCATCCGGCGGGGACGCGCGTTCCTCGACCTTCGTCGCTTCCGCGCTCGCGTCGAGACTCGCTTTCGATGACACGTCCGGGAACGTCGCGGCCGAATTCGAGGAGGAGTTGAAGGGAGATGAGGGTGAAGCTACACGCGGTTCGATCGCTGAAAGAGGACAAGCGTTCGCAATTAAGTCGTCTTAGATCTCTCTTCGAAGCCTCCTTCCGTCTTTAACTCGCGACGTTGGCCCTGCTCGCTGCAAACTGAACAGGTGAATCTCTCTTAGTTTTAAATTTTCAAGTCTTAAATTTCTGAAATTTTTGATTTTTTTAAGTTTTGAGTTAAAACTTCACACACAAAGTTTCTAGGTTTTTTTAAAAATCCTTCTTAAGTTTACCTAAGGTTTGCAAAGCCAAGCAAACGAAGTAGGCAATATTTTTCTTTCGCGCATCAAGATGTTTCCTTTGCCCGTCGCGAGTTAAAGATCGCTAAATTCCACGTAATTTCACGTACAATTGTTGAATTGCTGGAATAGGGCGGCTTTCTTGGAGAAGGCCGCCGCGATGTGATACGGAGGTGGGACTGGCGGAACGTCGCACGGCTTCGACACGCTCGTCCTCGTCTGCTCGCGAAATTTGCCGTCCGCGTAGATAGTCTTGTAGGGTTCTATGAACTTATCGGACTCCACTATCCTCGCCGTGTTCGCCTTGGAGTATTCGTCCGGTTTCCACGTGGAGTTGACGTAGTCGGCGACCGTCGGCGCCTTGACCAGGTAATCGGACGTGGGATTGCGGATGTACTTGGCCTCGCGAATGTCGGGACTCTTCTCCTTCGCCAGCACGGTCTTGTTCGCTTCGTCGGACGACTCCTCGGACACCGAGTGCTCCGCACCGGTCTCGGCTACTCGGTTGCTCTTGTTGCAGCTCTTGGCCGTGTGACGATCCACAGAGGTTGCAGACGAAGGCGCACTCTGCGGTCGAAGCGAAGCGCGTTGATGAGAAAGAACAGTGAACTTCGCGAGAAACGTTTGTATTTCTCCGTCGGATGTGCAAATAATTCGTTGTACAGATGATCAATATTTCAGAAAACGATTCTATTTTTTCTATTTTCGCACAAACGACAACCGATAGATTTTATACAAAGTTTAATTTAATGAGGAAATAGTAGAATATCTTGATAACGAAGCAATTGACAGAAAAGTGATTCAGATAAAAGTTTTGTAATTTCGAGGGGAACATAAGTTGGTGACACTTTTAACTTCGTTGTATAGTTAATAATTCAAGGTCATCTCAAGGTCAAATTTTTTTTCAGTGGAATCATATGGATTGTTTCCACACTGTTAACCCTATAGAATGTGTAGCGTGAGAAGAAGAAGTGTATAAGAAGTTCGAGCTTTCTCTTCAGATGAGTTATCTTTTGGAGTGACAGAATCACAGTGCTTAACGAACGACGTGTCACTCACTCTTTGATCGTGAATGGACTGATGATGCAAGTTACGGGCGTGCCTGGCGAGATTGCGCAGTTCCTTGGGGTAAGGGGTTGGTGCTCGATGAAGTTGCCTGGGGACTTCGGAATCTACCTCAGCAGCGAAACATATCCTCTTGCCTGTTCCAATGATTGAACTCGAAATCGGTCCTGCGGATTGCGCCATTTCTGTGGACGGACACAATTCACGCCATAGAATCCTCCTTCATCTCTTTCTCTTCGTTATAACTCCCCGTTATATCGCGCAAAAGATTCGTTCCTCCTTTTCTTCGTATACGACTCTCATACGTTGTAATGAATTGATTAAAAAGGCATCAAGAAGGAATAAATAGAATGAAGCACGAGGGAATTTTTCGATCTGACGCTTTCTGCAATGCGTCAAGCTAAAAATGGAACACGATCGATCTCCTCCTCGTTTCCGTTCGGCTTTTATCTATTTGATACTCGATGATCTCACCATTTCATTCCTCGTCCTCCTGCTCGTTTTCCACTGTGGCAGCGTGAAGAAAACACATCGCGTTTCATTTCGTTACGATTCAGAGTGTAGATCGCACGAGGCGATCTTCGAGGTGCAAAGAAATTACGAAGAAGAGAGAGGGGCAAAGAGAAGAAATAAAAAAGAACAGCTTACGCTCCAGATCCTGCCGCGGCTTCTGAGGCAGCATGAAGCAGCTCAGCACCATCATGTCCTCCTCGCAGTTGAACTCCTGCTGAAGCGGCACCAACGGCTGACTCTGGTTGTCGCTGAGCCAGAGTGCCTTCAAGTTGTTCAGATTCAGCATGGAGACCGGTAGAAACTTGATGCAGTTGTTGACGAGATTGAGCACACGCAGGGAGGACAGGTGGCCGAGCTCGGGCGGCACGCGCGCCAGGTTGTTCGAGCGCAGCGAGAGCAGAGAGAGCGCGGTGCAGCTGCCGATCTCGGCCGGCAGGGCGCGCAGATAATTATTGTCCGCGTTCAGACAGTGCAGCTTGCGCAGCAGTCCTATCGAAGACGGCAAGTACTCGAGGAAATTCTTAGTTACTATAAGCTCCTCTAAGCTCGACATCTGGCCGATGTCGTTCGGCAGTGCGTTCAATTGATTGTCGTCGATCTTGAGTGTCACGATCGTGCGCAGGTAGCAGAGCGTGTCCGGCAGCTCGTACATCTCGTTCGAGGACAGATTCATGATCGAGATGTCCCGCCAGCCGCGTATCTCCATCGGCAGCATGTGAATGGCGTTCATCGTGCAGTCGAAGTGATTCAAGCGGTAGAGCTGCTCGACGTTCGCCGGGATTCGCCTGATGTCGTTGCCATCGATCCACAGCTCGGTGAGATTGATAAGATCGCCAACGACTTCAGGCTGTTCGGGACAGTAGTGATACAGTAGTGTCGCGCGAATCGCTCTCTCGCGTCAACTACGCATGCAGGAGTACCGTTTTTCCGAGAAGATCGGGTAGTCCCCGTGAATACACTCGTACTTTCGAGGGAACGGACGAATTCGATGGTTATTCTTCGGATCGACCCGAGAGAGACTGTGAATTCGAACCGTTGGCCGTAGTTGTAGAGGCGAGACAAGAGGAGAGTCTTACCAGCTCTGTGAAGTCATTGTTGCCGATGTCGAGCCTCTGTAAGTTCACCAAACGGCTCATACTCTTAGGCAACGTCATCATGTTGTTCTCCCGCAGCTCGAGCGTCTTTAAGGCTGACAATCGTCCGAAGTTAGCCGGCAGGTATTCTATGTACGCGTCGTTTATGTAGAGCTCGCGCAGACCGACGATATGCGTGATGGCGTCCGGGAAGCGGTCGAAGGGATTGACACTGATATCTATGGAGCGGAGGCTTTTGCATTCCTTTATACTATCCGGTAACTCTTTTATACCTGGAGGAGAAATGCGCACGTGTGTACATGGACGATGCACCCGGAGACGTGAGTTATAATATGTGCGGGGTGTCAAGGTGTACACTGACTGTTTTTGCTGAGGTCCAGGTATTCCAGATTGATTAACGACGCTATGGCGGGTGGTAACGTACTAACTTCATTGTCGCTGAGCGAAAGTACTCTCAACTCGTGGCACTGAAACAACGGCCTGGGAAGATCCTTTATCTGGAAGCGGCAGAATACATTCACATTTCGCTTCAAGTGAACGATGTTAAAGCGGGGCCTACAATGAGAAGGCGTAATTATTCCCCTCGTATGTGATTGGTCAATTCTCAAGACTTACGCCTCTCTAAATTCTCATTGCAGACCCAACGTTTAACCGAGGCAATCGAGACACACTTACTCTATTGGCATCGAGATATAATTTTTCCAACGTTCTTTCGTAAATGAACACATCGGGTGGTACATCATAGAGATTACAGTGATTCAGCTGCAGCTCACAGATGTCTTCTTCCTGGGTTCTCAAACACGCAGCGCACTGCCACCAAGCGCTACCCATTTCATGTGTGTATAGCTATATATGACATATTGATACATACATTAAAAGATTTATTTCCAACAAAATTACCACGTCATTTACCATTTTCATGAAAAAAAAAATCCAGAAGAGCATTGAAAACTTGAAGAACACATACAATGCATATATATTTTCTGACATTTCAGATTTTTCATTTGATCTGAAATATAGTTTTCACGAATTTGACTTGATTCAATTAAAAATTTGAATTTATGCAATTCGACTTTTAAACTTGACGTGAAACTTGAAAAATCCCAATTCCCTCGATATAATCGGACTCGAGGAATTTCAGGCTCAAACGTCACGTGTCAAGTATCTCATTGTCGTCAGAAACATCCTTGGATAGCGCTGTCCATTACCTGTGGGGCTCTCAGGAACGATCCGGCAAGGACATCGAAGCGCGCGTAGGTGCCGTGACTAAGTCGCCCCTTCCCCCTCACTGGCAAGAAGCAGGCGTCGCGGGTGGTCACGCGGAGGACGACAGCTCGTGCTCGCGATCGGCCGATCGCCGTATCACCGCGTGCCGCTGCCTCGGCGCCGCTCGCGGCCGAGGATGATCGCGTCGGCAGACGGCAGCATCGGCATCGCGGCGGTCAGAGCGCGCGCCTCGTCCGTACGTGCGCTCGGGAGACGCGAAAGCGAGCGAGCGAGAGAATGAGAGGGAGGGAGGAAGGGAGAGAGAGAGAGAAAGAGAAGGGGGAAAGAGAGAGAGAGAGCGAAGAGAAACGTCAAGAGATGCGGCTTACGTACCGTCGCGAGTCACTCTCCGCCGCTCTTCTCACGCGCATCTCACTTCCTCCTCATCGTCCTCCGCGCGCGCCGACCGCGAGCGTCCAGCTTGCCGACTCCCCCGAGGAGAGTCCACCTCGATGCCGCGCAGCCTCGCGCCGAGAGAGAGCAGCCTCCGTGCTCGGGCAGCAACGTGTGGAACGCGCGCGCGGACTTGGCCACTCGGTGCAATCGACGCCACGGCCACGGCTCGCTCCCCTTCTAACAATCGGAGCGGTTTACATCGATGCGCCGCCGCGCGCCACTTCGCTCCCCCCTTTCCCCCTCGCCGAGCGAGACGAAAAAAGGCGCCCGTCGTGCCTCGCGAGCGCCCTTCAACTTGCTTCCGTCCCGTTCGCAATCCCCACCTCTGAAAGCTCGTCGTTACGAGCCGTCGTTTCTATCGACGACAAATCGGAGCCTGGCGCGATTCGACGGCGAGGCGGGCGGTCTTTTTGAATCTCCGGCTGCGGCTCGATTCTCCAATTCGTAACTATCGTTCGTGTCCTGAACCTTTTTGTTGATAAAAGGGGCTTGGATACCATCTGATTAGCTGAGAAGCCATATTTAAGGCATTTTTATGGATAAAAGAGAGTTTAGAATGTGGGCTTCTGTGTATGCAGGCTCTATTTCACGTTGCAAACGCTTTAAAGCGCTCACAGACCAATCATGTTCTTTCTTTAGGGGGTCATATGTATCCAGGCTGCTCAAAAAAACGTCCAATGTTTGAATTTCTCTGCTGACCACGCTGACTTTATAAAGAGACGTTCTTTCGAGGGATGACTTTTCGTACTTTTATTTATATGCCCGTTAAAAAATATTTCATACATAATTTAGTATAATTATGCATATATTTATAGATGATTATGTATGACACATTTCTTAACGAGTGTTAGAGTCATTTATTTACATTTACAAAAAGTTGATATGTAATACTGTAATAATGTTATTCTGCTTCCGACACAAAATATTTTATGAACCATTGGATCAATTCAGCCCTGTAGTTTTGCGTATATATTCTTAGTAAGATTATTCAATCTTTGTCGTAGAATCTTTTGATATCTATAATTTGTTTTCATGAACAAAAAAAGGAGAGAATTTTGGCGAAAAATCGAACTTTTGACTTTGAATGTTAATAATTTTATCAAAAATTAATATAAAAAAAAATCAGCTCCGACAAAGCCTGGATAATTTCACTAAGAATATCTATGCAAAACTACAATTAAATCGGTCCAATAGCGGTTCGCGAGATAATTTAGATATCGATTGGCGATGACGAGCTTCACGGAAGCAGTAACAACGTTACTACTTTATATAACGAGCTTCATATGATATGTAAATAAGAGTATGAAGAATCATTTTTTGGAGAATTGAGCCTCCGCATCACTCGACGGTGAATTGGTAGTTTCACTTTCAAACAGCACAATTGAACGACAAGTCGGAGAGATTTTTGTCTCCCCGAACAATATACCACGCGAATTCAACGCTTCGAGATACTTTATTTACACTGACTTAACGGTGTCTCATAAATACATACATACATACAACTATTCTCTCACATGCGTTCGAAGTGGATATATAATAAATTGTTTGGACACATTCACGGTGAAATATATAAAACATCGAAATGTACAGAATTTACAGTTGTAGGCCAAAGGTGGAAAAGTTGGAACCGAAAGAAAAATATCCGCACGCATACACGCACATGCATACGTACATACACGCATACCACACAATGGCAATAGATAGATTGCGTTCTTTGTTCGTTTTTGCTTCCTTTCTTTCTCTTTACAAACGGCACAGTCGCGAATAGTATACCAGTAAAGGTCACCGTAGTTATAACTTAGTAATTGGCCCCTCCTGTTAACATTAACATTTTTCAGCACGCTTCCCGTGAAAGTATCTCCTCAGAGTCTTTCCGCAAAATAGAGAGAGGGGGAGAAAGGGAGAGAGACAGCGTCTACGAGTACCCGGCCTCTTCTTCTACTGGTGGTGTACTCGGAGTTCGAAGGTCGTATTTACAGTCAGCCCGAACCAACGGGATCGCCGACGGAGGCGGCAACCAAGTAAATTGAGAGGTCTAACTGAGCTCGAAGCCTGCGCCGGCCTGTATCGCGTACAAAAGTTTCTCGCGCAGAGTCTTCTCGTCCGGGAACTCGGGGAGCTTCAATAAATTCATACAGGTACTCGAGGTTGGCAAACGGTCCACGCTACCAGCGTGCTGGATGCAGAACGGAGGGTCGAGTTCCTGCAACCGATAGGACACAAGAATGAAGAGAGGATCGACGTATCAGCACAAAGTAAAATACATCGGAGATCTCTGAAGATCCTGAAGGTGATAAATCCATCAATCCAGATCGTAAAACAGTTTTCAAATATAAATTCACCGACAGATGTGAATTCCATGAGAAGAAACTTCTGATGAAAATAATCTTTGAAATATGCCGATGCGATACCTTAAATCCCAGGAGAGGCGGACGACTGCAACTGGTGACGAACTTAAGCAGTTGGCCCTTCTGCTGATCGCTGAACTCGTTGACGACTTTCCAGAAGGCAGTGATAGTCGGATGATCGGGCGCGTATCCCCCCGTGTAGTTGGTGTGCAGCTTAAGGTCGTTCACGTCCACGGGGATCTGTGCGCCCGATATCAGCACCTGCAGCTCCTTGTTGTTGAACATCTGCAGCCAATCGAGCGGCACCACGCTGCCGATGCCCTGCTTGAACGCGTAGCATTGAGAGCGGATCTGCTTGTTCAGCTTGTAGTCGGCCATCAGGTGGATGTACTCGATACGATTGTGATTGGTCACCGGGATATTGGCACCGCTGGGCTTCAGCTCGTCCACTCGCCTCTCACCCAGCTCGTCGGACAACACGGTGAAGTCCAGCCCGAGATCGGCCACGTCGCCTTTGTAGCTCTTCAGATACAGCAGATTCCGATACATGATGGGGTCCAAAGAGGCCAAGTGGTGCACGTCCACGTCGGATTGGCGGCCGACGATTTTCGACAGGAAGAACTCGGCGAACGGCAGCTCCACCAGCAGATTCTCGTACAACGCCTTGCCGAGGATCCTGCCGATGAAATAGTAATGCTTGGGGAAATCGTCGAACAGCAGCTGCACCGTGGGATTCGGGTAGAGCATGTTGTCCTTGGTGAGCTTGAAGAAGCCCCGATTCGGGTCGAAGCAGGTCTTGAGCAGCTCGGACAGGAACTCGCGGAAGAGACCGCCGCCGTCTACGCCAGCCTCCTCCAGCCCGGCGGTGTTCACCAGCTGCACCCGCATCTTCATCCGCAGCTCCGGCTCGTTCTCCGGCGAGAGCTTCTCGAACGCGTCCTCGTACAGGTAATTCCGCCGCACGGAGATCTGTATCGCCGGCAGCATGAAGTGCGGCACCTCGCCCTGCTGCTCCGCCTTGTCCTTGTAGATCAACGACTGGAATACCACCACACGATTGTTAAACGGCACGACGAACGGAATCTCACGCAGCAGCGTCAACGTACGGACTTCCTTGGCGGACAACGGCGGGCCTTCCTCCAGTTCCTCGCGCGTGAAAGCGCGCAGGCTCTGGAAAGGGACGTATCCCCGCAGCCTGCGTCTGCGGAAGGCGAAGTCCTCCGGCTTGTCGATGGGGATTATCACGTTGGACGCTATCCAGTGGCCGTCCGGGCAGAACTGCCGACGGAGATCGCGCGTGTGCAGCTGCCGCAGCAAGCCCACCGTCACCTTGAACAAGTGGGTCCAGATCTGCGTGTCGTGTCGGCTCTGGACGGCCGACGCCGGCCCTAGCACGGCGTTCTTGTAATCGTCACGCACTGTCGGCCGCGTGTCCGGGAACGCGAGCTCCACCAGGCCGAGGCAGACGCCCTTTAGGTGACTCGACAACACGACCAACTCGGACGTGGTGAAAGGCATCGCCTGCTGCTGTTGCTGCAGACTGCCGACGTCCGACGTTTGTCCCGAGGACGAATGCTCGACGAAGAACTCCGTGTCGTGCAGTGTCGCGATCAGTAGGCTGAACAGCGAGCAGAACACCGCGAGCAAGGGGACTATCCTGTCGGTGTCCTCGGCGGAGAGGGCGATGCCGCGCGATATGATCTGCAGGAGTGGCGTGGCGCCACCGAACAGCGAAATCTGGCAGACCGACAGCAGAGTCGTCCACAGGTGTTTGAGGAACACGGGCTTGAACGCGAGGGTGTACAGCAGTTTGTATTTGTGAATGGCCAGCTTGTTGATGATCAGCAAATGATGGCAGAGCTCGCACAGCGGCTGCAGCAACGTTGCTGGATCCCAGAAGCGGTCCACCGTCGACAGTATGCCGCTCACGCGCTGCTGCTCGTTCAACATCTCGAGGGAGCGCGTCACGTTGGTCTGCTGCTGGTCGCTCACGTTCGTGTTCGACTCGTCGTTGTCCGAGTCGTCGGCCTGCTTCACGCTCTGCTCCGCGATCAGTGGCATGATGGTCGAGGTAAGCGACGCCAGCACTTGCAGGTAATTCCTCAGCGCGTCCTCCGACCTGCAGGTTGCTGCAGACAAATAATACGATTTTTTTTTTATTATAATGTGAAATTCTACGTTAACTCGTTAAACGTGATGAATCAATGGTGAGCTTCAGTGGGTTTTTGTGCTACGTTCGAGCGGTCGCCATCTCGCTCGCCGTATTTTTGCCATTGTAAGTGACTGCATTATAATCACAAATGAAGATCACCCGAGTGAATTTCTTTGAACGGCTTAGTTTCGTGTGGTTCGTTGAGCGTGAAGTTACGATGTTCGCTAAAGATCACTTTTACAACGCCGAATTTTTCATTCAGCAAACGCGATGATATTTTATCATTAACTATATAATGTTATCTAGACGATTATTATTATTAAAAAAAAAAAAGGACTAAACGGGATGATGATGATTAGCCTTCATCCGGATAGAAGAATCCCTGAGGCTTTTTTATTAGTTATGAATGTAATAGTAAATAGCCTATGATTTATATTAATGTTACTATTTTACTAAATAAATAAACTGAATTAAAAAGAATGAAATATTTTAAAATTATTTATTTCGGCTATTCTCTACTGAGAGCCTCTGAGGCTTTTCAGTTCGTTGTTGTAAAATCATTTTATCCTGATGAAAATTAAGACAAGTTAATGGACTCTCTTTAATTTACTCACAGATCTGGTCGGATTCTAAGGACAAAACGCAGTAGAGCAGATTTATCGTGGGCACCAGATTGGACCGATTGATGCAGCTGATCAGCTGAACGTACGGGAAGTCCTTGAACTCCGCCAAGGCCGGTATGACAAACATGCGAATGGAATCGGACAGGCCGGGGCAGAATATGCTTCTACACAATTCTTGCAGCACCAGCGCGGAGAAGTTTTCGTTGCGCTCGAGGTAAAAGATCAAGTCCAACGGACGTTTGATCATGTCCAGCAGGCACTTGGAGATCGGCGTCGGTGCAACCGACGTCGCCTCCATCATGGGCGGTACTTTCTCGTCCAGCAACTTCCTCAGTTGCTCGAAGTAGTTGTGCTTTATCAAGTAGACGAATATACTCTCTAGATGCCGGTAACTGTTCTCCCGTAGTATCCTCTCCGTGTCCTCCCGCGTCGTGAACACCTCCAGGACGCGCAACGGTATCGCCATGGAATACGCTCCATCTGGCAACGCCTGTATATTGTACTGCATGGAGATGCGAAGGATCCACCTGTGTCAAACAGGTTGCGTTATTAAAATGTTGCACATACCAGGGTGTATTTAAACCCAAAAAAAAAATCCTTGAAAATTCCCTGATTGTCCTGGCAAAAAATTCTAGGTGAAACGAAAGTACTTGTATCTTGCAAATTAATATATATTTATTGTGCAAAGCCCTTAATATTCCCCATGTATAAAAATGCATAAATTATAAAGCAAAGTTAAGAATCACTCGAGTTTAGTGAGTAAAATTGAACAGTTTTGAAAGAAAGTGTAAGGACTCGAAAAAAATAAATATTCAATATTGCATAAAATTTCAAATTTTAATTTGATAATTTTAATTTAATCAAAAGTTACAAACAAAAAAATCATGTAATGTATAACCAGTAAAAATGCAACTTTTATAAAACTATTAAAATAAATATCTGTCTTAATTAAACAAAACTGCACCTAACACGAAATCGTTGTCTTCGATACTGAATATGGGATTGGTCATAAAATCAGTGCGCGCTAAACATCAAAGCAATATAATTAAACGTTTAAATTATATACGTAGGTACAGAACAAAGGAAAATCTCTTATAAACACAAAAGTGCTATTTAAACATTAAATAGAAACATTAAATAGAAACTTAAAAACAATTTTAAATGTATATATACACAGAATGTTAATAAGTTCGCGTTTACGATTTATATAGCGCTATCTCTTATTAATTAAGATTAAAATTAATCAAATATCAAGTCGAGAAATCCTGAACTATTTTTTTCTATGATTCTTAATAAAGAAAATATTAAATAAAATTCAGTCAACCACACAATATTTGTCTATGAACAGTAGCAATAATACAGTTTGCAGATAAATGTCCATTTAAAATTCCCCGATTTCTAGTCAAATTTCCTGAGAATTTCCTGATTTTTCCAGGCATAAACAAATTCCCTTGAGAATTCCAGGTTTTCCAAGTGGTAGACATCCTGATAGTAGATACTTTTCTTTTTCTTTCATAGCTAGCTTTGAAGCAAACATCTTATCGTCATAAATTATTAAAGTTATTGTATCCAAATTAAGCTCACTGATGATTGGTCAGAAATGCATATAGAGTAATAAGCCAATTAAAGCTTAAATGTTGCTGTTCCTTGTACAAATAGCACTGAGTTGAAGTTTTAATTGGTCGATTTCTTACTTATCATCCTTCTCTTATCGCATTATTACAAATTGTAAATTGAAACCTTGTATCGAAATAGCTTACCGCAATCTCCACAGCCATTGCAATGAATTTATCGACTTCAACTTGATCTCCTTCTGATGCTTCAGGAAGTGCTGAAGGATCCATATCAGTCTGTTAGCGTCTAAAGCATGATTATAAAAGAATAAAAGATTCCTCAGATACGGCACTAATTCTTCTAAAGTCAAGTTCCTACGTCCCGCCACCTGTTGAGCCTCGTCGAACTCCCTTCTCTTCTGCGCGCATACCACCTTCCTGGTGAGGAAGCTACGCACGTACGCTTGGATCTTTAGCGCAGCCACATGCTTCTTCCGTTGCTGCTCCCTCTTCAATCTCTCCAATTGCGCATGCTGCAACAGCACAGACTTCTCATCCCTCCTGCTAGCTCCTGACAAATTTTGCTGCGGCTTTCGCCTGTAATCTCCCTCGAAGCTATACATGCTGAATCATGATCAACAGACATCCGACATCCTCAATTGTTCCTGAAATGTATCGTTTGCTCGTCAGAGACGTCACAGTGTCACTTGTACATCGCGGTGTGACGGTATCTCTTCTGCCTGGCACTTACCACCGCGTGTAAATTAACGTCAACTGTCACCGGAGTGTCACAGACTAACTAAGAATAAGCGATCCTCGCTTTCCACGGATGGCGATTCCGACCAGACGGTCTCCTAGCTTGACATCCTCTCGTCGGTCATTCCTTTTTTCCTTCCTTCGTCACTAGTTCCCCTCAGCTTCTCGGAATTTGTGTTCCTTTGTTGAAGGTTAAATTCAACCAAACGTTAGTCGGATGACTGTGCGACGAGCCCGATCGATCGATTCGTGAATTACGTTGGCGGCGTCCGCAGTGTCATGTGAATCCTGAGGTTCAGTCAGCGAGGAGCGGCAACACGGACACAGTAACCACGTTGAATCGTGCATATACGGCTAGTCATCACAGCTCGCCATGTTTTCGGTCGTGCCGAAGACCGTCTGCTCGACGTGTGTGCACTGCTCGTGATGCGCTCTCTCTCTCTCTCTCTTTCTCTGTCTCTTTCTTTCTCCCTCCCTACTTCCTTTTTGTACGGCACGCACGTGAAAGGTCCCTTTCGCTGACGTCCGCTTTCGCTCATAAGCAAGTATCGGCCCTCGGGGACTCGAGCGCGCCGAGGCCTTGCGGCCCTTCAGGCCTTCGCACCCTGCCAAGTTTTCGAATCCTCGTACCGAAGACTGCTTCGCGAGCGCAGCGTCGCGTGGCGCCGTCAGTGGAGTGCCAGACACCCTAGACGCGCTCCGGTGCCCGATACGCTCCTGAGCCCCTCCACTCTTACCAACGGACGGAGGAAAACTCACAGGCTGGTCTGTTCTTTTCAGCTGCGGTATGTTGCACTTTCCGCTCCGAAAATGTAAAAAATACTTATCAGAGAAAAAAACGAAACTGAGAATTAGAAAAAAAACAATAATACTGTAAGTTTTAAGATTGGGTTATCTATATAGATAATTCATGTATTGTCAACGTGATGTTTATACGTGATGCTTACATTTTTTTTCATGTAAACAATGTAAACTGTGTGAAATATTATAAATTGCATAGTACAGTGTTGTATAAGAGAAAGGATAAATTTTATTAGTCCAAATTAGTTTAAACTATAAAATAGTTTACGTGTCCGATTTCGGTGTTAATTATGAAGATATTTCATATTAAAAATTGAAAAGTTGATGTGTGGGTAACACAGAAATGTTATCATTAAAAAAGTTCATTTTACGCATATTTAAAATATCTGTGTGCAAACATGAAAAGTATACATGTTATATTAAAATATAAATCTTATTATTCAGTTTTACCTGTGAGCTTTTAACAGGAACAGAAAATATACTGACCATGCGTAGACTATTGTATTTTACATGTAAACGTTCGACCCTGATAAAAAATATAGAAATCATGGTTGAAAAGGACAAATGAAAAATTCGATGAATGAAAAATTTGGAGAAAGCGGGAGATTGAATTGAAAAATGAACAGACCGAACGAACTGCGCTTGTGTGATCAGGTTGGCGAGCTTGGCGCAAACGCTCGGAGTAAATTCAAGTACCAATTGCGAATGGCCCGGGAACGCCGGCGGAGATGCGGGAAGATGGCGGCGGCAGAGTCAAACGAGACGAAATGCATCGACGTTTCGTGCGCTGAGAATGCAACGTGCGAGGAGCCGGCCGCGGCGATGCCGCGCCGGCAAGCCGAGCGGTATCAATTTCGCACGGCGGACCTGCTGTACTACGCGTTTTCGGTCAGTTTCTTTTTCGCGGACGTAGCAACAGGTGAACAAAGAGTACACATGTACTACTCGCGTATGCGTATACAGAGTGTCGCACACTCGCGGGCTTGACGTTAATGACAGATTCGGTGACAGCTCGACGACGACGGGTCGTCGGCGAGTCGTCGCGGCGTGAACGATTTTTTTCAGTCGTGAAAATTTCAGCTAGAAGATTATCGGCGAATCGAGCTTTGATACCAAGCTGGTACGAGAAATTTTTTTCTTTTTGCAATCACCCTTTCCGACTATTTTTTTAGGTAAGATTTTTTCCTCCGACAGACTTGATTTCCGGTTTTTCAAAATTCCACATTGTCTGAAACTGAAAATTTGCGATTTATCGTAATGTCTTTCTCGACAGCCTTCTCGAGGGGAAGCTCGATTGCGAGTTTATCACAGAATCTGTCATCGATGCCGCGAATTGTGAGACACCGTGTATAATTCTCTATCGTCAAGGACGATTGTTTATATATTCTTCCTTTTTGCGCATTCTCTCTTTGTTTAATATACTGTGTTTTACATGGTAAAATTTGCCTGTATATATTTCGTTGAAGCATGCCATTGTAGAAATGTACTTTGTATTATTAGGAAGCTTTCACCGTTTATAGATCAAGCACTCTGTATGATATTTTTCGCACACAGACAGTATTGCATTTGTGGAATACCTCTTGCAAGGCCACTTAGAGTGGGGATGCTTTGCAATGGGTTTCACCATCTTGCCCGCTTGTGTTACTCAACTATTTAGTTTGAGATGGCATCGCAGCGACGGTTCCTTGAAGACTGTCCACTGGTTACTGCACTTCTTACTTCTGGGCTTTCTGCACAGGTATTTATCTCTTTGCGCACCTCCTTTTCCTTAGATTGTGAGAAACTCTGTGAAACTCCAGTGTTGCAACATGCAACTGTTAGTCATTGTTTGTCATCGTTAATTTATTGATTACTTTACATTCTGTCCAGGTACTTGACTTTGCTTTACACTGCGGTGCATTCTCTAAGAAATAAGTCGAACTTCAGTAAGGACAAGAATTGGGTGTACCGGCAAGAAAGTGATATATGTATGTTGCACCTGTTCGAGTCATTCATGGGGGCTGCACCGCAGTTGATCCTGCAATTGTATATAATTGCAATACTACACCACGCTCCACTTTGGACAAGTAAGTGTGTTTTCTTCAAAACCATTTTGTGATTATATATATAAAGATGATTTTAGAAGTTTTTAGGCACTAACTTCTTAAGAAAGCATTTTCCGACCCATATTTATAGGAAATTTTTTATTCAGAATTAAATTTCTTACAAGATCTCAAAGTCTGGCTGGAACGTTTGGGACCACTCTGTATATATATATACACGCATATAGAAATTTATTCCTTTTGTACTTCTATTCTTTGTGCCTTCATGTAATTGTTTCTCTTCTCTATTATCCTCAAATGTTTAAATATCTATGCTTATTTTATTTCACACACAGTGAACGTAACATAGTATGTATAGCTAAGAGAAACTTATTTCACATAATATTTGAGAGAGAAAATTCTTTCATTTATAGTTTTATGTACAATTCTTTCAGCGATACAACGACACCACAGTGATATGATTATGAGCTGCCTATATACAATATAACTGATGAAACAGTTGTCAGACGAACGAATAGTCGAATAATTTGTAATCGTTCTCGTAAATCTGGTTGATTTCGTCGAGAAGCGGTCGCGGTATCTTCTTGATGTACTCGCTAAGGATTTCCTTAGTGGTTGTCCCGTGAGGATTGATGTTCCGCACGTAGTTCTTCTCGTATAGATACCCGCCCAGATTGGCGTCCTGCACGAAGAAATTCTCATCTCGGTCCAGAGTCTCGAACTTCAGTATGTAGTCGTAGCGCACGGCGCAGGGCCCGCAGGTCCGATCGTACGGCGCCCAGTGCTCGTCGAAGAATTTCTCCTTAACGATAAATCGGAGGAATTCCTCGAACGTCGGTTCTAATCTCGTCTCGTTGCCGGATAGACGATACTTGAACGCGATGCGCCGGCCAAAGCGCTTGTAGTAATACTCGCGGCCCTCCATGTGCTCCAACTTATCCCTGTAGGCGGACAGAAGACGCTCCAGCGGATGTCGCACGATCAGGAACTTCTTCGTCTTCATTACCTTCTGCAATCAGACGCGAAGCATCTGTATTTCCCAACTGGTCGTTCCGCCTCCCCCCTCCCCCCTCCCTCTCCCAGCGTCGCTTAACGTTAAAAATTTGTTAACGTAAATTTCACAAAAAAACAATATCTGGTCTCTTCATCGGCAAATCATCTTCATCTTAAATTGGTACCGTTAGTTTTGAAAAAAAAAAAAAAAAAAAAAATGTNGATAGAGCTTTGTATCGGAAGATATGGTTATCAGGAACTACCGCGGGAGTTGGCGGATGTTGATGAGTAAAAGCTCACCTCGTGCGTCCTATTGAGATCTTCGACGCGCATGAACTTTTGTCTTACGATTTCGTTGAGCTGAATGTGATCGTGCCGCACCCGGTCCATCGCAGCGTCCGTCAGAATGCCCTTTAATACGGCGAAGTAACTCATCCATGTGGAACTCGCCACCTTGTATATGGGACACCACGACACGTTGTGTTCCCTTCGGAAGAAACAGTGAAATTAGTTTTCTCGTTCGACGGAAATCTTGACGAAAACCGTGTCGATCCTTCCTGAAACTGATTCTTCCGTCAGCTCTTACTTTTAATTAACATTACCAACTTTCAATGTTAATTATTAAGAGAGGCAATTCTTAATTATTAATTATTACTAATAATTATTAATTAGTAATAAATATAATCCGCAAAAAAAATAGGAGAGCAAGAGGAAGACGCTTTTTATTTCAGCGTTTCGATTCTTCTTCGATTTTTTCTCTCTTCTTCCGGATTCACTCACGTGTCGACGATCATGTTCGTCAACGCGGCGTCCAGGTGCGATTTCTTCGAGCCGATGGCCCGGCACGCGCTCGACAGCCATCGTTTCCTGGCATTTAACTCTCTCCGTGCGTGCTCCATCTGATCCCGCGACATTGTTACCCGCGGTATTATTTCGGACGCGACGCGCGCAACGGACCACGCATGCCTCGGCGACGTCTGTTCTCGCGCGGCAGCCGGCTCTATGTTTGTCCCCGTGTGCGGTTTTTCCCCGGAGTTCTGCGCCAGTATCAACAACGTGACGCAGATTATTGTTAACAATGCGATCAACTGCAACGCCGTCACCTGTCTCTGCGAATCAATCAAGCATCATCTTCCAACTCGTCCGTACATCCGTTCGAGAGAGAGAGAGAGAGAGAGAGAGAGAGAGAGAGAGAAAGAAAGAAAGAAATGTCGCTTTCTTTCTCTCTCTATTTCACTGACACACATACCTGCATCGACGAGAAGAGCATCCTCGTGAAGTGATAAGGCGCGAGCTTCGACGGATAAATCATCGGCTTCTCGTCATCGTTCCTCACCGTTGTCTCCGGCGAATCCATCATCGATTTTTTATACGACGTATGCAGCATATCATCTCTTGTTCTTGCGAAATGAAGAGAACTCGACTTTCCTCCCTGCTTGTGAATTGTTCACACCGCTGAACCGGCGCCTTCACGTCGACATGCGGACGTCGAGCGCGTCTGCGGAACCAGCCGCGACGAACGCCGGCGACATAACGATGCTGCGTATTTGTTTGTGTTTGTTTGTTTCCTCTGTGCCGCCTCCGCAGATAACGCAAAGCCGGATGGAATATCGCTGACGAGCGTTTTTATCTGTTTCCCCTTAAAAACCGGCGAAGTCCTGCAACGAGACAACGAGCGGTTGTTGCCTCTCTCTCTCTCTCTCTCTCTCTCTCTCCTCCGGTTTTATAAATATAAAGCGCGACGCGAATACGTCTTTGGCGTATTCAGAAATAGCCGAAAAGAAGGCGCGCAGGCTCCCTCGCCGCCGAAAGGAAAGAAAAGAATAGAAAAGTATAGAGTCGCGTGGCAGTGTCCCCCCCCCCCGTCTTTCCTTTTCCGCGTTCTCCTCGAGTCTCCGTCGCGTCTTGATCCGACGATGACGATCTGTACCGTCCACGATTTCTGTGGACACCGTCGTGAACGCCTCGGTTTTTACCTCAGTGCTGCGTCAGGGTTGATGAAATGACGTTTCGGAAATGAATGGTCGCTCTGAAGTAGTAGTTTCTCCAACTCTGTACTTTTTAAATGAAGGAAAAAGTACGTTATCACAGGCCCGCTACGGATCTGGAAACTCGGGAAAGTCGCGAGAATTTAAATTGAATCGAGGAACAGTCAGGGAAAGATATTTAAAGAGTCTAGAATTTTGAACTTGGCTCATAATTTTCTCGATTCTTTTATTCTAAAGAGTATTCTTGTCGTGTTTTTTAATATTATATTTAACATTTATGGTGAAATGCGTTCAGAACTCTCGAACTTTACAAATAACTTTTTACGTATTAGGGCCACAGAAAAACTTAAGAAAAGCGACCAATCACAGTCGGTTATTTCTCGACCGTGAGGAGAACAATCGAATGTAATTGGTCAGTTTTATTCAGCGTTTCTATTCAATTGCCCTTTCCCGTTGTAACTTCATTCTTTATTCCTGTACTCATTTATTTCTCATCGGCCTGAATTTGTATTCAGAATTACATTATGTTACTTAACTTCCAAGTTTGTATTGCTCCTAATAATATAACCCATATAGCACACTATCCGACGAACGTCCTTGGGATGTAGGGACGTCTTTAAGACGTCCCTTGAATGCCTGTGCCGAAAGTTACTTTTCCCTGTTTCTAAACTAAGATCATATTTTCTTAATTATAATAAGTTAAAATTAAAAATTACATATTGATCATGTGGAGAATTCTTTACCGTTGCCTGGAAAATCTACAAAAGTCGCGAAATTTTTCAATTCATTTTCTATGTGGCAACTCTATATTAATAATTACGATGGAATGGAATAGAATCGACTTTATTACGATATATGAATCCTGTGAGAGCAACAATTTAGATTAATACATGATGAAGACACGCAATTGTCACCTTGAAATCGGAGTGTGCTACTTTAATAACAATTATTACTTCATAATCGAAGAACGAGCTACTTTATTAACAATGTTGCTCGACAGGTGCGTCCGCTATAGCCTCCTTTTGCTCGCTGACGTGGGCTGTGAGCACATACGTGCGAGCCATGCACAACATCAATCGCGAGCGCAACAACGCGACCTGGGTGGCGCTTGCTCTTCAGGCTCTCTGGCGCAGCGGCATGCTGCTGTCGCGAATCGGAGTTTTGGTGCTGGCTGCGGTCTTCCTGAGAGCGTGGTTCTTATTATTTCTGGGTGAGTCGCACCGACGGGAATAGCGTTGCACTCACGAAAACCAGCGGAATGGGTGCTTTCCATTTACATGCCTTTTAGCTCTTGTGTCGATCTGAGTTAACTCAAGTCGACAGCTCTACATAGTTTTACCCAAATGAAGTCATGTTTTCATTATTATTTATGAAAAATATTTTTCATAAATATTTCTGAGTATTTATCATAATCTCTCTCACACTCCGTTTTTCCCCGACATTTGAATATTTGCGTCTGTATTTTGTAAATATTTTATAGACATTGTATGTTGCCCTAGGCTCTCTTTCTCTCTCACTCGCTCTCTCACGAAAGGATAATTATTTCTCGTTGATAAAAAGCGACTTTCGAATCTCGGCTTCGCGGAAGCCTGAGCCTTGGCTCTCGCACGACCCGTTACACAAATAAAATGGAAAGCAAGAGCAACATTAAAAGTCGACTTGCTAAATGAAAAGCATCCAATGCGAACACTGCGAGTCGATATGCTGGACACGTGGAACTGTTGTTAATTATGTTCCGCAATTTGTTACAATTACGTTTTAACTAGACATTGAAAGGTCCTTAAAAGAGGATCAACCGTATTATCGGAATCACTTTGCACGTGATAAAACGTACACGTGCGTCGAATTGGATCTTGCTGATCGCCGGATTGATAGAAACGAAGTCCCAATCTTCGGCGTGGGAGTTCGCGAGGACTTTCGCCCGCTAATTATAGCTCACGGGATCGTAACTCGCCGAGTGCGATCAGCATTCTTCGCGTAACTCCGTGCGATCTCATCATCACCACCGCCATCATCCTCAACCTCTTCTTCTTCCAGGTCTGCACTGGTTGTTCATGACGATCTGGGTGATCCTGCAGAACACCGAGTTCTGCCCGACGGTGTGGGAGGAGCGCATCTACAACTGCATCATCGGCCTCATCTACTGTTTCGACTTCTTCAACCTGCGCGACGGCCGGTCGCGGTACCGCATCTTGCTCTTCTACACGGTGATCGCGGTGCAGAACTTGGTCCTCCTGCTGGTGTACGCGCTGCGCTTCGCGGTCGCGCTCGACACGACGATCGCGATCGCCGGCGCGATAGTCGGCGGGATGTTCGTCGGTCTCACCAGCATGCTCCTCTACTACGGCAAGTTCCACCCGTCCAAGGCGGCGCCGGCACGGGACATCCGCCGGGACGAGCGTCTCGTCTCCGACACCCCGAGGTCCTTCAAGCTCTTCCATCGCGGCTCCCTGGTGTCGCTGCACCACTCCATCGACATCTCGCCGAGGGTCGCCGAGGAGGTGGCCACCGACAAGCAGTCCCTGCTGACGAACGTCGCGCAGATCTCCGGCTGCGCGGAGGAGGGCATCGTCAACTGCAACTACAGCGCGGAGAAGGAGCCGCCGGTGCGCGTCTCCACGGAGTGCGAGAAGCCGCTCGCTCGCGCGCACAAAGAGGAGACCTCGGCGCAACCGAAGGAGGAGAGCGCGGCGAGCGGGACGTTGAGCACCCTGTACCAGGGCTTGCCGGACGTCGACGACCCTCATCTCCGTCAGAAACGCAGGGGCATCTGCCTGCCCGTCACCCACGGCCTGGACGCGGAGAAGAAGAGTCTGCCTGAGGTGGACGTAGACGTCCCGGACGTCGACGTGTGCCTGTCCTCGCGGAAACGCCGCGGCATCTACGAGCATGGTATCGCGGCGGCGCAATTAGACTGGCTGGTCCCGGACGTGTCGAGCATCGACCTGGGCGAGGGCGAGCGGGACGACCCCTTTGATAACTCGTGCGACAAGGTGATCGGCGCGCTGGACGCGATCAAGACCCGGGGCAGACTGACGACCCCGACGCCGCTGGAGGGCGGCCGGATATTCGACATCGAGAAGGTGTCGAAGGACCTGCAGCAACGGGACGAGACGATGAGTTGCGTCACGTCGATACACGACTACGAGAACGTGTGCCCGCTCGGGATCGCCCGGCCGCCTTGGTGCATCCGCAGCTGGAAGGGCTACACCGACATCGAGACGTACATCCACGACGACAGCGTGGTGCGGGACCGCCGTCGGGACACCCTCACCAGCACCACCGGCACCACGTACAGCTCGGAGTACTCGGACGGCGTGTGCGGCGCCGGCTCCCTGATCTCGCGCGGGATCCTCAAGCAGGACGACTACGCCGACACGCTGGTGTACGACCTGGCGGAGCCGAAGGACGGCAAGTTGCCGTACGAGCGCGCCGGCGACGTGTTCGCGAGCGGCATCGAGGAGCAGAGCGCCGCCGCGTTGTACATCGCGAAGCCGGTGGTGATAGACGACCGGGGCGGCATGCTCGCGCTAGACACGATCCTGGAGGAACGCGACGACTCGCCGGAGGACGCCGGCAAATTCCAACGCGTCCAAGAGGCGTCGGACTCCGCGAGCACCTTGGTGAGCACGATCGACCAGATCAGGCGGTACACGGCGGAGAACTCGCCGAGGCACGTCTATCATACCACCGGCACGCAGTGGGAGGACCTGAACCCGAAGAACCTGATGGCGCAGGCGAGCTTCGCCAAGGTGCTCTTCGACAACGAGCTGAAGAGCGGCGCGATGCCCGGCCCGGTCTGCGAGCTGTCGCCGTGCGTCGACGATCCGCGCGTCGTCGACAAGCGCGAGATCGACGCGATCAGGGAGTTCGTCAAGTGCTGTGCGATCGAGTCCATCAAGAAGACGCCGCTGATCGAGGCCATCCTGTCGGACTCGCCGATCTTAGGCAGCAGGGGCAAGCTCGTGCGGCAGGTGACGTTCGCCGGCTGCAAGGACGACTTCGACGCGAACGAGAGCGACCTGTACGTGGAGATGAGCCCGTTGGTGTCGGTCGAGAACGGCGAGAACTCGAAGACGCCTGTCGAGCTGAAGACACCCGACACCCTGGAGCCGGTCAAGAGGGGTCTCGCCCTGGCAACCTCGAAGAAATCGCCGCAGCTCTCCGACAAGGAGAACCTCGCGCCGGTCTCGTCGTGCAGGAGCAGACGATTCAACGGCGACAGCGACGACAGGCGCGCCTGGACCATCGAGCGCGATGATAAGGCCGACAGGTCCCTGTGTAACGTGCGCTTCAACCTGAAGGAGAAGAGGCACGTGTTCCTCGAGCAGGTCCTCTCACCGCCCAAGCTCTGGAACAAACGCATCTCCTTCCACCCGAGCACTAAAAACTTGTAGCGAGCGATTATTAGGGTCGTCCCCTCGTTGGCGTACGCCACGTGTCTCGCGTGTGGCCTGAGGAGAGTTGAATACACAGACCTTCTGTATGTTACTGGAATGCTAACTCCTTTGTACAAGGTGGTCCACTTAACTTCATTCGTTTCTGACGATACGAAGAAATGTCGAAGGACAAAGTTGTTCGAGGAGGTAATTATGATGGCAAAAGATTTCTTTTTTTCTCGGAGATTTGAAGGTCAAGATAATTTTCCTATAAAAGTTACGTGTCTTTGCGCGATTTTATAGCCAACGAGGGGAATTCAACGACCTATGACAATATGATTTTTAAATTTGGATCCTGGACGTGGAGTGGTGATGGATAAATGTGATGCATGGCCGATGCCTGCAACCAATCAGACGTGAACGTCGCACTACTTATACGACGTAGAGGCATAATTCTGTATATATATTTTTAGAGCTATGCATTTCCTAGAAGTTAGCAGTCCAGTGGTGCATATAGAAGTCCGTGGTTGAATATATTAGCTCACTTCCATGGAGTGCCAAAAATTTGGAAACGAATGAGACTTTGCGACTCTCGCACTCGGCACTGTCGTGTTATTGGCGTATTGACTTGGTGCAAAAGTCTTCCCACAAACATCGCACGAGTGTTAACACATTAAGGGCGGGAGTCGTAGTACTACGATTTATCTCGACTGCGGCTTAAAGACGGGAGTCGTAGTAATACGATTTAGCTCGACTGCGGCTTAAAGGCGGGAGTCGTAGTAATACGATTTAGCTCGACTGCGGTTTAAAGGCGGGAGTTGTAGTAATACGATTTAGCTCGACTGTACCTTAAAGTTTTTATGATCACACAAAATATCGCCCGCTCTAGGCCGAAAAACGAGGCGGGCGGCCGCCGCGCTACCTAGCATACTTTCGTCGAGATCGCTCGCCGTTAATGTGTTAATATGAAAGACAAGGTATTTTTTTAAATTCTTGAATAACAAGATTGGGTCGGACTCGACCGAATCCATATTCTAATACTTCCGCGCATGCGCCGGTAAATTTCCACATTTTGCGATATATTTTATTTACTTTTAAATATCTCCTAACTTATTGGGAGAATAAAACATACGGAATCGAATAGATCATTCGTTTTCTAAATAGACATTTTTTCAAATTCATTTTCGTATTCGTCTATAGAAATATCGCTTATCCGAGCAAAATGTGTTTTGGGGAAAGACTTGTGAGTCAAACTAATGCGAATTGTGAATGGCTCATTGTTATCTTGCTCAAGTATCTCTTATTTATGTCTTGGAGGACGTTCTCTCGTGTTACAAGCTCTCGTGACACTTGCAGCGAAATCAATCAATTGTACACGCCGCATCGTGGTATTGAGTCTCACTTCGTCAAGATGTCGCATCTCGACACACGCTTTCACACAGACACACACACACACACACACCGTGCACATACAGATGTAGATGTAAGTAAATCAGGGAAACAATTTATATAGGACAGGAACAACACGCCACAGTACAAAGACTGCAGTAATATTACGTCACTCGTTAATAAGGCACACACACACACACACACACATATACACACATATATGAATATTTTATTATCCATGACTTGAAGCTGCACCACGTTCATCCTCGCGAGTGAACGCGATGTCAGCGTGTGATACGCGCCGTCCGACAGTTGTGTGGTGAAACGATCGAAGTCCGGTGTTGTGTCTACTTCCGACCAAGTAGATTGCGCTTTTGCGATTAGATAAGTGTATATAAAAAAATGACGTATTATATATAGATATATAGATATATATGTATATGTATATGTATATATATATATATATATATATATTGTACTGAGATTATTTTTTTACGCAATTTTATCATGTAGAATAAAGACTCTGCGTACGTAATGAGATTGTAAAACGCAAGCCAGTATTTGTTTTTTAAGAAAATACTGCGATTGTTATTCTTTCTACATCGAAAAATTATATCCCGGGAAAAAATTTCTCATGTATAATTATATATATATATATATA